GCAGAATGCACTCAGGCAGTACCCTGGTCAGCTCAGGGTTCCATGATTGCATAGTCTGCACACCGGTGCAAAGGACCCCTTTAAAAGAAAGACCCCCCACCCACTTATGCTCTCTTTCACTCTCTCTTTCCTGCTGTTCCCCTGGGGCAGATAGGACTTATCCTGTCTCCCTCTTCTCTTCTGTCCTCTTTCTATTTCTGTGTCTCTTTACCTCTTTTCTCTTTCCTGTCCCTCCCCTCCCCCCTTTCCCTTTCTAATAAAACTTCTCACTTAAGCTCTGTCTGCCTGTCACCTCAGCCACCCTCACCTGCCATGGAATCCGCCAAGTTTCCCCATGCACATTATCCTAACAGAGGTGAAGGTGAAGACTCGGGAGAGACAGGTGATTTGGCAGTTGTGGTGATACATTATTTATGATTTATTAAAGCTTGCCTGAGGCTACAGAAAGCAAAGCTAGCCACAAGCCATAGAGCCAGGCAGTGGTGATACACACCTTTAATCCCAGGACTCAGGAGACAGGTAGACAGATCTCTGTTAGTTTAAGGCCACACTGAGCTATATGTAAGGGCCTCATGTGGACATTTAGTTTCCTGTCACAGGAAGAGGTATTGTCTCTGAGGATTCGTGGAGCCAGGATCACCCTTTTCAGTCTGAGGTAAGAGCTAGTGGCTGGCTGATTTGCTTATCTGACCGTAAACTTGAACCCCAATATCCATCTCTGGGTTTTTATTTTTCATGTTACAGGCAGTGATGTGGGAGAGAAGGAGGGGGCTCAGAGTTTATGAATTGAATTGATGGGTGCCTTAGGCAGGAGGATGGGCGTTTTCTCCTGAGGCCAATGAAATAGGCTAAGGAATGTTACAGATGCAGATGGATTTGGCTTTGAAGGGTTGGACACAGGGCAGGAGTCTGTGACCGATTTCCATTTGATCTGAATAGCTGAAATTGTTGGGGCGCAAGGCTGTGTGTGACAGAACTCACGAGTCTCCATGACCATGCCCTCTTCCCAGCACTGATTTCCAACAGTTGCTTAATGTTCTACAGGGTGAAGAATAGACAATAAGGTTATCTTGCTTGAATGATGACAGATAGTTCTAAACCTTGAAAACTTTCCCTTGCTTAAAAAGAAATCAAGGCGCTGGAGAGATGGTTCAGCAGCTAAGAGCACTGGCTGCTCTTCTGGAGGACTGGAGTTTAATTGCCAGCACCCACATGGCAGCTCACAATTGTCAATAACTCCAGTGCCAGGGGATCAGACTTCATCTTCTCTGGCCTCCATGGGCACTGCATGTTCATGGTGCACAGACATACACACAGGCAAAACACCTAAATACTTAAAAATATATAAATCTTCAAAAATTTACATTGGTTAATGGCCATGAATACTTTTAATCCCAGTTCCTGGGAGGCAGAGACCAGGAGGATCTCTGTGAGTCTGAGGCCAGCCTGGTCTACATATCGAGATCCAGATCAGGCAGGGATATATAATAAGAATCTATCTTTAAAAACTATGTTAAGTGAAAATATGCTTAGAAATCAGGTCTTAGAGGTAAAGTGAATAGTAGTTCCAATGACACTGATGTCACTAGACAAGACTGTGTAATAATGTGTATAAGCACGTGAACACATACAGGAGCCATGTCACTGTGTGATATCATCTTGGTAAAGATGCTGTCTCATCTATCTGGATTAGGACTGAAGGTTGAATTCCTCCAGACTATTGAAGAGGTCACAGTGCAGCACCGAGTACTCCTGCTGGGGAGGCACATCTCAGTGTTTCTTGTATTACATTGTACGTTTTCCTTTTTAAGGTATCACCTGGTCCTTGAGCCCAGTAGATGTCTTCCTGCTCTCCTAAATGTAATCCACTTCTCTTGTAGTGAACACCGTAGACTATGTTATGCAGTAGGCATTCAAGTGTAGACATCCGGCACACAGCAGGTGCTCTGAAAATATTTGTTAAGTAGAATGTGGTAATTACAAGAATTAGCAAATGATTCAGCGGGAAGAAAAGAGCTTGCTGTTGGAGCCTGACTATCTCAGATCGCAGGAGTCTGAGGTGGAGATGAGTTTCTGTAAGTTGTCCTCTGACCTCTACTTGTGGGTGGCAGAAACACACACACACACACACACACACACACACACACACACACACCCCACACAGAAGAGAGAGAGAGAGAGAGAGAGAGAGAGAGAGAGATAGTAAAAATTTTTTTCTTTTTTTTTTTGTTTTTCAAATCAGGGTTTTTCTGTGGCTTTTGAGGCTGACCTGGAACTCACAGATATCCGCCTGCCTCTGCCTCCGAGTGATGGTATTAAAGGCGTGCACCACCACCACCGGACAAAAAAAAAAATTTAAGTTAACAAAATTTCTAAATATTCTATTTCTATTGTCAGCTCCTGATGGTAAACTCTACACATTTCTAGTTAGTGTTTTAAGGTCTCATAAATCTGCAATAAAACATCCTACCTATGCATATTCTGCACAGTGTTTGTAGTTTGGATAGATTTGCCTTCAAAACAGGCACGCTTTTTCTTCTTCTTCTTCTTCTTCTTCTTCTTCTTCTTCTTCTTCTTCGCCAATATTCGTTCGTCCGAAGTACTGATACTTGCTATATAACTTTTCCAGCCATTCCTCTGGAAGGTCCTTTCTCTTTGGCCTCTGTTAAACGTGGAAGCCCAAGCAGGCCAAGACAGACTGCGCGAACGCGAACGCAAACGCAGAAGTTCTGACCCTAGTGCCGCCCCGTAGTCACTGGCGGGACCTTTGAAAGTGCGCGCGCCCTAAACGCTACGGCGGTTACTGCGAGTGTTGGCCTGCGCTGTTCGAGCACTTCCCGGAGCAGCTGTCCAGACAGCTTTGAGACAGCTCGGCAGTTCTGACCTAGTACCACCCGGCGCGGAGCAACCTTTGAAAACGCGCGCGCCTAAACGCTGCGACGGTTACAGCGAGTGTCAGCGGGAGCTGTTCCTGCATCTTCCGGCCTGGGTGCTCACACAGCTTTGAGCCAGCTCGTCACTTCACCTTTTTACTTGATCAAGGGTGTGACTGTGGTAAGGGAAAGTGTGGCGGACTCGAGGGTGAGGAGCGGAGGATCGAGGACCAGAGAAAGGGAGGATCGCGGATGGGAGGGTGACAGTCCCTAGGGGAGGACCCGGGACCCAGTGGACAGCGGCCTAGGAGATCTACGGGAAGGACAGCTGATGGAGGGTACACAGCGGCGAGATCCAGGGAGGACCCAGGGGAAGACAGACAGCGGAGGGAGGAGAATAGCGAACCATCGGGCACCTCCGAGAATCTGACCCTGAGCTCCCGGATCGCGGGGAGTTTGGGGGTTCAGAGAGGAAATCACCCTCTTCTTCATGACGGGGACGGGAAAGCACCTCTCAAATAATGCCTCTGCTTTTAAAGGTGAGGCCGCAGTAGAAAGGTTAGGGATGTGTGGCCTGGGGACCCACTGCGTTCGGTCCGTGTCCAGCAAACTTGCAGCCCTGGGTTCCATCCCAAAGAGTGCCTGTGGCCCCAGCATAGGGAGTGGAGGCTGAAGAAAGGACAGGAATGTGGCTGCGGGTAGCGTTTTATACACGGGAATGTTGATATTTTTGAAAAATATATTTACATACATACATACATGCATGCATGAAAATTCATAGGGAAACGCATAACCATGTAGACTTAGCATATGCTAATAAAAAGATACTTATGAAAAGTCAAGCACTGTTAAGCAATACTATAAAGTAACGGGGGGAGGGGCCGCTGGAGAGTTTGTTCTGTGGTTAGAGCCTGCACTGCTTTTGCAGGGTTCCTGAGCTGTTTCCCAGGACCCATGAGGAGGGAGTGGCTCACAAGTGCCTGTAATTCCATCCTTCACCTCAGGCACCTGTATTGCTGTGCATACACCACCCCCTGCCACACACAGCAGAATAATGAGAAATAAAATCTTAAAAGCAGTTATCAGATTAGCCAAGCATGGTGTACACTGGTAATCTCAGTCATTGGGAATTGAGTCAGGAGGGTGTAACATTGGATATCAACTGGGTATACACAGCCAGTTGAAGGCCAGTTAAGCACTGGTGAGACCTAGACTCAACAGAACAAAACATGACCACGGGTTTAGCAAACCCATCAGTAGATCCACCAGCTATATCAAATGTGCCCTTTGAACCATAAGCCTAAAGGTTATGTGGTTTAAAGTTAGTATAGTTACTTAACAATTAATACCGATGGAAAGTATATACAGACCCCAAGACAGTATATAGACTAAAGCTCAAACTCAGCCAGGAAAGGAAAATACCATCAGACAACTGAAATGCATGGGACATAGCATATTTTGGTACAAATAGCATTAAATGGAAGGTAAGGCAGTTTTGAGTGTCCAGAATATTAAAACTGTTAAACTGTTAAAACATTTAGACCTCGGTGTTTTAATCTTTTAAAAAACACCATGCATCTGTGTATATCCAGTCTTCAAGCTGTGGGAACATGGACATTGACTTCTCCAGGTCACTCTTTGCCAAGAATTTTGCACACGGCTTACATTCTATAGGTGGATTTTTCCCTTTGTTTCCCAAACTGGGTACTGAGGGTTGTACCCATTCTCATCTAGAATCTCAGTGTTAACCCCATTCCCATTGGTAAGTCCACAAAATGATGTCTTCAGCTTTGTTCCAGATCTATGTTTGACTTCCTGTTTGACCTTACCTCCAAGATCTAACAAAGCATCAAAAAATGAGCTGCCAATCTCTCATGCCCTCTTTTTTTTTTTTTCATTTGTTCAATTTAGAACCCCCCTGCCTTATTTTAACTTTTTTCTTCCTAGCCACAGCTAAGCCATCAGGAAATCATGGCATTTTCTGGACATTCTGGACAGCTTTAGACGTGCTCCATCATTGGAGTCATATGTGTGTGTTTCTATATCTGGTTTAGTTTACTTAGCATATTTTCCTGGTTCACTTGTACATACATACATACATACTTTGTTACTTGGTATGCAGATCCCACACTGTACTCCACATTCAGCATCTAAGGGTTTCTTCTCTTGTCTGTTTGGACTGTTAGAAGTATTGCTGCTTGTATGCAGTTTTCCATTTTTGTTTTGTTTGAAGTAGAGTTTCACTGTTGTCCAGGTTGGTCTTAGCCTCCAAGTGCTGTTATTACAGGCTTGCCTTAAAGGAAAATGAGACCTGTTTGTAACTTCTCCTGGGAAGTATGAGAGGGGAAAATGTACTATTTACCTTTATGTTTTGACAGTGGGGATTGAACTCATGGCCATGTGCATGCCAGACTAACAGTACCACTGTTACAAGTGCTTTTACCTTCTGAGCTATGTCTCTGGCTTCTAAGTATATCTTTTATAATTAAAACTGCAACCCCTAATCACTGATAGTGATTCTCTGGGTCTCAATTTTACCATTGTAAATAAAATTGGACAAAGTATTTGCTGAGGTCATTTTCGGTTCTCAAATCGTGTATTTCTATGATAAAATGATGTTATGGGATTCTCCTCGAAAATGAGTGTTATTCTTTACAGCTGCAGTGTAACTTAGCTTGTTTTCATTATAGGACCTAAAGTGATTGCTACAATGGAAGGAATCAATAATTTCAAGACACCAAACAAATTATCTGAAAAAAGGAAATCTGGTAAGATTGCAGAAGACAGATCTTTTCTTGTTGCTATATCTACCAGAAATGTTTCAGTGTTTGCTCATTGTTGTTGTCTGTGAACAGTCTAACATTGGTTATTATAAGCATGCTAGCCATAATGGAGCTTCTAATAGGGTGGGCCAGACTTTCTGTCGACTGACATGGTCATTCTGGACTTTAGGTTCTTCCTGGTGATGGTCTTCTGACTTGAAGCAGACATTAACAAGAGTCAGTTCACTCCTTTTAGGAGGAAATTCCTAGAGTTCCTCCAGGAGTTGAGCATCAGGCTTGCATAGCAAGCACTTTTATCATAGATGTGTCTTGAAGATTATTTAAGATATCTTGTTTGAGACAGGGTTTCTCTGTGTAACTGTGGCTGTCCTGGAACTCACTCTGTAGAGCAGACTGGCCTTGAACTCAAAGATCTGCCTGCCTCTGCTTCTGGGGTGCTGGGATTAAACCACTGCCTGACTTGTGTAGGATATCTTAAGTAGTTAGTCATGTGTAGATTAATATTTGAACAATTTTTCCACTCCAATATCTATAACTTTTTCTAAAAATTACCTTATTAACTGGCTCCTCATGCTTGCTAGTGGACATATCTGTGTTGTTCCCAATGCATATTAGATGTAGCTGTTCAGATGTAGTTCTCAGGCTCCAGCCCCTCTCTTGCCTCTGAGACCTGAGAGTATAGGACCTTTAAGAACATCTACTTATCCTTCAGTGTGCCCACACTATCCTGGTAATTTTTGATTAGGTGGTAGATGTTTTATGTCGAGTGCTGGATTTTGTCACTCTATAGGGCGTTTGGTCTCATGAAGCTCCAAAGCTTATTTGGCTGAATGATGGTAAGCCTGTTCCTTTTGATACTGGCCTTTAAGCTTTCTTACAGACTTTGCTTGGGCCAAAAGTTAGTGGTAGTACTGAGTTGTTACCCTTTAGAGGGCTTTACTTAACAGTCTGCTACAGTGCCGCCTGGTATGGCTGATGATGGTAAAGTGATCCTACTCCTAGACTTCCATTGCTTTCCTGGCTTGGGGGAATACTTCCCATTATGTGTGCAGTTAAGTACTAGCCAAGCACACTCTATGGGAAATCTTTTCTATTGCCCATTTTCTTTTAGCTCCCTCCTGTGTTCTGCTCCACAGCTTCCAGCTACCTAGTCCTCCTTGACCTCTGCTCTGTCTCTGTGGTTTGACATACTGTTGGGCTGTTTCCTCTGCTTGAGCCTGCCTGGACTGCCTTTCCCTTTCAGGGCCATGGGGAGATGATAGGATTTGCTTCATGGGTTCATCCTTGCTCAGAGGTCACAGCTCTGCTCTGCCTCTTATCATGCATCTGAAAGCTATTGTATTTTGTCAGGTTTTTTAGTTCACAGAGAGAACAGCTGTCTGTATGAGCAGCTTGTGCTCTAGACCACCGAGCCATCTCAGCAGCCTCTATATTCTTTGTTTTTAAATAGCCCTTAAAGAATGTAAAAAAAAAAAAAAAGCACACACCTATAATCCCAGCACTCAAGAGGTAGATCTCTGTGAGTTCAAGGCCAGCCTGTTGTACAGAGAGAGTTCCAGGATAGCCATAGCTACACAGAGAAACCATGTCTTGAAAAGCAAACAAAGACCAGTGAGATGGCTCAACATCTCACTGATGTTGAGTGTTGACCTGAGTATAATCTGTCCAAAAACAAGTTCAAAAGCTGTCCTCTGACCTCCACATGTGTGCCATGGCATTCACATCTACATACATACACCATGTATACATACACACAATAATAGCTAAATAGATTTTTTTAAATTCTTAGCTTGTATGCCATAAAAAACAGGCCATTTACATTAGGGTTACTGTGAGAGTTACAGAAGTTGTCTTAGTCAAAGGGTACTCATATACTCTGTTTAAAAAAAAAAAATGCCATTACTAATCTTACCACAGTGTTTAAAGACTGTCAAGATTCTTTTGTACTACCATTTTCAAGTGCTAAGTTCTTGCTTTTGTTTTTGATTTTTAGTATTATGTTCGACTCCATGTGTAACTATCCCTGCCTCTCCATTTATGCAGAAGCTTGGCTTTGGGACTGGGGTCAATGTTTACCTAATGAAAAGGTGAGTGCAAGATTTCCAACTTGTGGGTCCTTGTGCCTGAATTGGGTAAGTTCCTCATCACACCTGAAGGCTACATTCCAGTTCTCAGAATCTTGATAACTGCTAGAGTTCTGCCCCAAGTACTGTACTCCTAAATTCTTACTGGTGGATTAATAAAAGGGAATAGCTTAACCCTTTTCCCTTCTGGCTTCTTTAAGAAGGTGAAGTGGTAGAAAGATGCGAGAACATGGCTTTGAGTGTGGTGAACAAGTGTAGAAGAAATGTTGGTGTGGAGTTGAAATAGCTGTTGGTGAAAGGGCGTGTCAGGGATGGGGAACTACTGGCAGTTAATGGCTATAGGGAAGAGAGTCGGTTCTCTTCAGGGATGCAGCCCCTAAGAGGCTACCCACACTCCAGGAGATGCTCCTGTACCCATGCACTAAGTGGACTCTAGGCTTAACGAATAAAGAACACATGAGGATTGAAGTTGGGGGGACATGGAAAGTACATTTGATCAGAACATATATGTATGAAATTTCAAATAATAAGAGAGAGGATACCATTATATAGACTGTTTTGGAGCATCTCTTTAAGTTAAATTTCTTTAGTATTTATTATATAACTCATCTCTGATACATAAAGGTAAAATGTTTGATAAAATAGTGACTGACATGCCAGAATAGAAATGTTAGAAAATAGTGTAGCCACTTTCAAATTTAATTGTACTTTTATAAATTTGTAACATTTCATCTTTATCTTTCTCCTTTAATCCCTTCTCGGGGCTTAGATATCAAGACACTGACTTAGTCCAAACAGAAATGTAACAGGTGTTGATGATCTAAAGAATTTTATGTATTTTTAAATACATATTTCTATGGGGTCAATTTGAGGATGGTGTTGTTTTTTATTCCTTTTTTACATTTAAATTTATGTGTTTATACTTTAGATCCCCACGTGGGTTGTCTCATTCTCCTTGGGCAGTGAAAAAGATCAATCCTTTATGTAATGATCACTACCGAACTGTATATCAGAAAAGACTGACTGATGAGGCTAAGATTTTAAAAAACCTTAATCATCCAAACATCATAGGTAAGTACAGGTTGACTTGGTGGCAGTTATGTGGCAGTGCAATGTTCTGTGGCATTAGAAACAATATAGATACATTCTGAAATGGTTTTGCTAATAAAAATAAAGTTGGTCTGGATGTTATTGGAAGTTAATGTGAATTGTCTGAAGTAAAAATTCACGTAAGGGGCCGGAGAGATGGACCAATAGATAAAAGAACTTGTTGCACTTGTGAAGGACTCAGGTTCAGTTCTTGGCACCCACATGGTGGCTCACAACCATCCATGGGGTATCCAGTGTCTTGACTTCCACTGGCACCAGGCACACATGTGATGATATCTTAAGATCCATATATCTTAGATCTTTAAGTGCTTGTATCCAACCTTCATGGAGTTGAGGTGTAATCGTTTTGTGCAGATAAAGATTTCAGGACTTAAACTGATCTTCATTTAGATCATTTATGTTCATTTAGATGGGTTCTTGTCTTCACTTTTCATTTTTGGTACTAATTCGTCTGGTGGAATCATTCTATTTACGAAAGCATAGTAAAACTATTTTGATCTGTGGTGCTAGACACATTGAAGGCATTTAAATTCTAGCTGTGGGTTAATTTTGTATTTTATTGTGTTAGACCAGGTCCAAGATATATTACCAAATAAGCCCTGGTTTCCAGAGTCTCATAGAAAACTGTCACATTTTCTTAAGGGTACCGTGCCTTTACTGAAGCCAGTGATGGCAGTCTGTGCCTTGCTATGGAGTATGGAGGTGAAAAGTCTCTGAATGACTTAATAGAAGAGCGAAACAAAGACAGTGGAAGTCCTTTTCCAGCAGCTGTAATTCTCAAAGTTGCTCTGCACATGGCAAGAGGGCTAAAGGTAAATATATTTTAAATAGTTTTGGTGAACTATGAAGAAATTAAACATGGGTTATATCTGTGTTGCTGTGTTTTTTTTTTTTTTTTGATAGATACAACATGACGGAAGAAAAGAAATGAATATATTAATTAAACACTAGTAATAGTGACTCTAGAAAACTACTGATGACTCGCAGTGTCATGATAGTGATGTCAGGGTTACATGTTAAGGTCTCATATGAAATTGGTTTATGGAGCAGATTGAGAAAAAAAAAGCATTGTAAAAACAATTTACTACATTTATAGATACCTTTAAATAGGATAGAGCCAGGCATGATGGTACACACCTTTAATTCCAGCGTGACAGATCTCTGAATTCAAGGCCAGGGTGGTCTACAGAGTAAGTTCTAGGGCAGCCAGGACTACATAGAGAAACACTATCTTAACAAAAATAAAAAGGATAGAAACATCTGAGTTTTTTACTGACTGATGGCTTTAAGTATGTATGTATAATGAAATTAATAATGTAACCGTGTTGGGGCCTATTCACCATATGATGGGCTGCATTTAAGTATGCATAGGAGGCTCCTGTGGAAGGGCAGATCACAGCAAGAGTGGCTTCTCCTTTCTAAGCTGCGCGTATAGTATAGTATAGTATAGTATAGTATAGTATAGTATAGTATAGTGCTCAAGTGCTGACAAATGAACAGCCATTGCAGCATTGTTCAAAATGTGACTATAATTATGGACAACTCCAAAGCAGTTAATGGTAAAAACATAATATAGAATACATCTCTGTTTCTGCTTATGAATTATAGTGGACCCAAGTCACCTGCATTACATCACAATTTGAGATAAGTTTGTGAAGATTTCAAAATTTAAAACTATTGGCCTCAAGTGAAATTGGAGTGTTTTGAAGTCAGCTTTGAAAATTCAGACATCGTAAAGAAAACTTTTAAATGACATGGCATGTTCCCTTCCTAGCCTCAAATACTTTGAAATAGATAAATAAGTCCAGTTTACAAAGGAAATTCAAGTCTTTGTTGGTTTTTTGTTTTTTTGAGACAGGGTTCCTCTGTGTAGCCCTGGCTGTCCTGGAACTCTCTTTAGACCAGGCTGGCCTTGAACTCAGAGATCCTTCTGCCTTTGCCTCCCAAAGCATATGCCCCCACTGCCTAGCTCAAGTCATTGTTTTATTGAAAGAATTTTTAGCAGTTTTTTTTTCTGCTCATGTATTTGAATGTTTTTACAATTCTTAGTATCTGCATCAAGAAAAGAAGCTGCTTCATGGAGACATAAAGTCTTCAAATGTTGTAATTAAAGGTGATTTTGAAACAATTAAAATCTGTGATGTAGGAGTCTCTCTGCCATTGGATGAAAATATGACTGGTAAGTAGCATTGTTTTAAATTCATACAATTTTTGAACTCTTAATTTTTGCATTGTAAAACATAGTAAACCTACATATTTTAAATGAACTTCATGAAAAGTGTATAATACAGAGCATCTTTCAGGTGTTTTCGCTTCCTCTGAGCTCCCCGCTCCAGTTATTGACTTCTTGGTAGTGTATCTGTGTATTTTTTGTCTTAGTTTGATTTGTTTGAAGTTGGTCAGGTTAGGATGGCCTCAGGCTCAATCCTCTCACAGTCTTTAGTCTGTGACCACACTGGTCCTCACCAGCATGGATTTTACCTGAATAACTTTGGGAAAGACACACCCACCAGAGTAGAGCTTCCCCCAGCTTCTGGGCATTGTAATCCAATCATGCTAATCAGGATTGACTAGTACATCTTTTCTTTCCTCTTCAAATGTTTCTTTCTCTATTTGTAAATTTATTGAGAGCCTCAAAGTAGAATTTCAAAGATAAGCTTCTTTAATTAAACAAACTGCTTGTTTTTTCCCCCTATTGTTTAGGAGTGCTAAGCATTTTGTTTTCAATTCTATCCTTATTTGTGTAAAATGGAGGTTATAGTAATAAAATATTGAAAGATTATATTTTTAGTGTAATGTACTTTAACACTGTCCAGTGAATTTGATTTATTCTAATTAGAGAAAACATTTTTAAATATGTAAAGGAAATTTTGCCTTAAGGAAGATGTCACAGAATTCCTTACTGGACAAAGGAATTAAATTAGAGATTACTAACAAAATATCTGGGAGAACCTTGAGTTTTGGGGGGTTAGCAATACAAATTTACATACCTATTGGGGTATCATTGGGCCACAGTTTTGGAGACTGTTTTGAATTGATACATAAAATGATACAACATGTAAAGTCACTAGTTTCCCAGGGAAACTTGTAGCTATTAGTGATTATTTAAAAGACAAAAGGTACTACTGTTGGCTGCACTTCCTTGTCAGCCAGGAAAGAGCAAAGTCCATGAAAGGAATAAAATAGGAACAGATGTCACTGGGAAATGTTAATAAAGCCCAAACTGGTTATACAGAAAAATAAAAATTCTCACCAAGACTGAGAAAAGAAAGAACAAAACCACTAATATCAGGCATGAAGAGGGTCATAGCTGTACATTCTACACATGTATAAGGACTATTACAGACAGCTGTATTCCACCAAATACAACAGCTTATATAAAATGACAGCTTCCTTGAAAAATGCAATTATCAAAATAGATATAAGAACTAGGAAATCCAAAAATAGCTAGTAAAACATTCTTAGAAAGAATCTCATATGGTTGATTTTAAAAGAAAATTGATACTAGTAAATAATAAGAAAATGAAAAGTTAAAAATTCCATTTATAACTGCTAAAACCCCAAGATATTTAAAAATCTAAGAAGAAAAAAAATCCTCTAAGTCTGGAAACCATAAAATATCACTAAGATGGAACCAGACAGTGAAAGAAAGGTCTGTGTGTTTCATACTGTTTGATAATATTGAGATGTTAATTCTTCGAAGACTGATCTACTAGCCTATCCTTTCCTAATTAATTTTTGCTGTTGTTTTTTGCTTTTTCAATTGAAGCTGACAAAATTTTAGACTAAGGGACTGTGAGTGGCATGCAATACTTTAAAGGCCAGTGTGTGACTATTTCTCTGGGTTTCCTGATGTAGCAATCATGGAAGTCCTGAAATGCCATTTGGTGTTCAACCTCTGTGCTTACAGAAAATCCAAGACCTAAACATAAAGTAGTCTGCTGTGTCACCCAGCTTGAATGCCTTTATAAGCAAGATAGTCTAGCTTGAGTGGAATTTTGATATCTATCTATACCCTAAATTTCTGTTACCTTCTGAGGGAACTGTTGTTTTCTTATATTCCCACCAACTGATGAGATTTTAATACTTTCTAGTCTTATAAGGGACAGATCCATTATAGTGAGGTTGAATAGTGATTAATTTCTGAACTCCCTGTATAAAGGAGTTTTGCTTGTGTTGTTTTGTTGGTTGCTTGCCTTTCTCCATAATCCTTAACACCTGTTCTTATGACTATTTTTGTATTTGTGTGTGTGTTTCAGTGACTGATCCTGAGGCCTGTTATATTGGCACGGAGCCCTGGAAACCCAAGGAAGCCTTGGATGAAAATGGCATTATTACTGACAAGGCAGATATGTTTGCTTTTGGTCTTACTCTGTGGGAAATGATGACTTTATGTATTCCACACATCAATCTTCCAGAGGATGATGATGATGAAGGTATAAATACAAATAGGTTTTAACATAAATCGGAGTTTCTTTCTGGTAATTAGTGCATAAAACTGTCCTCCCATTAAAATTCAAAAAGCAAATTAAGATTATAGTAATACTGTGATTAATTTGGCTAGATTTAATCTCATACAAATGAGATACCTATTGAGAATAGATACATAAGGGTATTCCTCCCTTGTAACCCCTCCACTCATGGATTCTCATTTTTTTTTCTTATGTATACAGCTTTGTCTGCATGTATTCCTTCAGGTCAGAAGAGGGCACCAGATTTCATTACAGATGGTTGTGAGCCATTATATGGTTGCTGGGAATTGAACTCAGGACCTCTGGAAGAGTAGCCAATGCTCTTAACCTTTGAGCCATCTCCCCAACCCCCAAAATGACATACCTCATTTTTCTTTAATATATCTACATTTGCTGAGTAGGGTATCTAGCTGAAAAGTTTCCTTTTTGCTGGAGAGAAAATGTCTAATCTCTGCGGCAGGAACGTTGAACAGACTGCCTGTGGTATAGGGAAACACTGGATAACCCGGTCTTGTTGCAGGAGGGTAAGCTGTTGAGCTATCCTATGACCTACATGATTTTGTTTCCATCTCTAACTCCCTCGTGTGCAGATGCAACCTTTGATGAGAGTGACTTTGATGATGAAGCATACTATGCAGCTCTGGGGACCAGACCATCCATCAACATGGAAGAACTTGATGAATCATACCAGAAGGTCATTGAACTTTTCTCCGTGTGTACTAATGAGGATCCTAAAGATCGTCCTTCTGCTGCACACATCGTTGAAGCTTTGGAACTAGATGTCCAATGATGCTTTTTGTGGCGGTCTAAGCAGGAAGCATAGCTTGTATGTGAACTGTTAACTCAGACACACTTAGTTACTATGACCTGCAGAGTGTCTAAACTCTGGAAGTGGCTAATTTTAGGATCACCATATAGTTAATATTTGCATAATTTTCTGACATGTTATTTCTTATAAGCATTTATTGTACTGGATAGTCTGTGAAGTTAAAAAAAAAAAAACAAAAAACAAACAAAAAAACCTAACTCTCCAGAGTACCTAGATGCTGCTCCTACTGATTTAAAACACTAGTCACCCTGAGATGACTTAGAATCAGGGGATCATTGCTTTACTAAAGATATTTTTAGATATTCTCTTTAGTGAGTTGTTAAAATTTCACTTTATACTGTGCAGAGTTTATCTACATCTGCTCATCAAATGTCCAGCTTTAGCTGATCTGTTGGCCCATGTGCTTATTAAATATCCCTGTATCTTTAGAGCAGGGGAGAGTAGTTCCTAAGGTTTTCAGACCCTGGCTGCAGCTACTTTACATCTCTTCACATCTTAGTGTCTAACTTATTGAATATATTTTCATGCTAATGTATTGTTTTTACTTTTAAAGTTGTGATGTAATAAAGGATAGTTTTGGTACCTCAATATTCTATTCTTGTTTGTGTTGCCATCTGACTTATGGAATGAATGTGCTTTTTCTCAAAACCTTGTTTTCTTATGTATGAAGTGAGGTTAAATTGGATCAGTTGTTTGAGTCATAGCTCCTTGGAATTACCAGAATTCAATTGGTGAAACCAGGTGGTGTACCCAGACTTGACTACAGACAGAATTTAGGTAATGCAGCAACAGATCATTAATTGGTATATTGTCCATCAAAACAGCAGGAAAGTGACAGCAAAGTCAAAGTTTACTTATCGAAAAATTGTGTAAATGTGCACAGATTCAGTATCTCCCCCACCCCCAGACAGGGTTTCTCTGTAGGTTTGGAGACTGTCCTGGAACTCTCTGAAGACCAGGCTAGCCTCGAACTCAGAGATCTGCCTGCCTCTGTCTCCCAAAGATTCAGTAGTCTTACCTACCTTTTCTCTGATTTATCATTTTTAATAGGTTTGCCCAAGTGACAGGTCCTGTGTACAGACCATAAAGCATGAATTGGCACTTTCATTGAGATTTATTCCCAGTTCCTACAGACACCCCATTTTCCACATACCATTTTACATAACTATACTTGTCACAATAAACCAGAACTGACATGCAATTCAACTCCATACTTTATTCAGATTTATTATTCAGTGACTACTTTTTCTGTTCCAAGATCCCATTCAAATGCCACACTCAGGGATGTCACAACCCCATGACTACTAAATTTCAGGGTATGATGGTTTAGAAATTTTGTGCAACAGACTTCAACTGGGAGTTGTCTGATGTTTATTTCATGTTCACATGGGCTTATATAAGGACTTCATACAGCAAACCACCAAATATCAACATGGTGACACTGACTGTTGACCAATTACTAGCTGTTCCTATTGTTGGCAGGGTTATCTGCTAAAAGTACTCATTTTTTAAACTTTTTGATATTACAAGATGTAGGCTCATTCTGTATAATCTCTGACCCAGCAACTCCAGATTTTTTTGAAAAGGTATTAGAAGCAAGATCTAAGTACATGAGTTACATCTACTCATTGCTGTTATTAAATACCAAGACCTCTTATGTGTGTGAAACAAATTGCAACATAGCAAATGTGTCGATAGCAAACCACAATGTATATTTAAAACCTAAGACATCAAATGAATTAAGCTGCAAAACTCATTTGAAGCAATGTATCTACACCCAAAGATAATAGGGAAACTATTTCTTTCAGCATACTATTTCTCTAGTTTTGTTTTTTGTTTCCCAAAGATATGTATGATAAAAATAATTTGAGAGTATTAACAGGATTTTATCAATTCTGGGCCAGGAAGATGGCTCAGTAGATAAAAGTGCTTGCACAATCCTGGCCATCTGACTTGGATCCTTGGAACCCATGGTAGGAAAGAACTGACTCCCAAGAGTTGTTCTCTGGCCTCCACATAGGCACCTTGAAATGCACACATGCACACACAAACATATTAATAATGACAATTATAAAAAACAACTATAATTGATTTCTCACAAATCTGAACAATGAAATAATATTAATAAAATTTATAATATAACATTTAAAAAGATTTTGTGCAGAAAATAGCATTAAAATCTTTGTGTAATTACAGATGATTTTAACACTTCCACATTCTTTTTGGAAGTATTACAGGTAAATTAGACTAAAGATGAACCAATTTTACAATGAGCAATACAACCTAGAAACAAATGATCTTTAAGAATGAAAACAACCTGATTAATTTTTCGCTTTGCAAATGAGTATCCAAATTATACTAGAAAATCTGAATACACTCAGGTGCATAGCATATTCCATAAGGTCATTATGTTCTTAGGTTCACCTGTTTGGTTTATGACTTTAATTACCTACCAGCATTTTCATGCAATAAAAACAGAAGATAACAGTACCCAAAACAGTCTTAAGTGTGCTTTTAGTTAATTTCCTAAGGGATTAAAATATTAAAAGTTATAGAATTATTTTATGTAAATGGATATGGGATAATGATTTCTGCTATCTTATTAACAAATAGGAAATTCAAAATACTAAGTATTTTCAACTTAGCTGCTACAGTATGCTTATAAAGTGAGAATGCTACATAAGGAATTCAGAAATTCAGAAATTATCTCATTGTCTGTGTTTAGATTTGCCTTTACTGATGGAGCACAAGACAATCATAGTCTAAGTGTGTTGTTCATGTGTTCCTTAATAAAGTGGCCCAGTTTCTGCAGAAGCCACCTTGCTGTCAAGTTTTCAAAATTAAGAACTCAGTGTGTCCAAAGATCTTTTTTACTTTGAGTCCCAAACAGTTCAACAAATTAACATATAAGAAGTAAAACTGGTAACGGGTACAAGTCTTATAATTTTCATTCTGATACTAGTTATATAGCTGACCTTCTCCACACAGAACCAGTTTGTGGTTGCAAATGTCTTTAGCTATGAAAATTATATACAAGGAAATTAGGGGTGTTGCAATACTTGGTTGCAAATAATTTACCATCTGGTGTTGGGTCAGAAAATGCAATTTCATTAGTGTTGAGAAAACAGCCGAACATGAAGCAATTCCTACAAAATAAAGAGGACAAACCATTTATCAGCCAAAATTTTAGATTTTGATTAAACATACATTAAACAATAGAAGTAACTGATTAAAACCACTACTATTTTTGGCACCAGATGCCTTGGATTTAGAGATGGATGGATGGCATCATCTCAGATGAGAAACTCAAAGGTCCAGAATGGAAAGGAAAAGAAAACCAATTTCCTTAAGTTGTGTTTTGACTTCCACACGTGAGCCATGGCATGTATATACCACACACAAAACAAATGATAACCATACCACCACTACCAAAGAAAAATAAAAACTATACATAATGTTTAAGAAGGCTAAAAACAAATCTAAAATTTCCTTGATTCTATTCAACTATAATTAAAAGTACTAAAAATAAAGTAGTTAAAAGGGGTTTAATGCTGGTGAAACGGCTCAGTGACTTAAGGGAACTTACTGCCAAGCCTGATGACCTGAGTTCAAACTCCAGGACCCATATGGTGGTGGGAGAGAACCAATTCCCCCAAGTTGTTCTCTATATACATGCCATGGCACATATGTCCCCAACCCCCACAAAATAAATGTTAAAAATAAAAACCCTTCAGTGGATTCTGTAAAATAACTACCCATACTCTCTATGATAGTGAGTTTTGTCAGTTTGATTAAGACATAGATGATCTGGTAAAACACACCTCCAAATGTGTCTAAATGCATCTGCATACACAATCAGATCATAAAGCTCTGACCTAACAGATATATCCTTGATGGGTTTATGCAATGGCACTCCTGGGAGGTGATGCATAGTTAGAGCAAAGAGGTCACTCGGACATGTTTTGGCTCTATATATCTTGTACCCGCTTCTTTCTGAATTTCTCTTTTTCTGCTTCTTGGATACCATGAGGTAAGTTGTTCAGCTCATTAGTGTCCTCCTTGCCAGGATGAACTGACACTTCTGAAACCATGCATGAGCCAAAGTAAATCATTCCTACTTTAAACCATGTCAAGTACCCTGTCACAGCCACAAAAAAGGAAAGCACTTCAAATTCTTCAATGTGGAGATTAAGTCATGAAAATGAAACCCGAACTATCAACTAGATAAAGATATAGATACTGTTTCTTGAACTTGACCGACTTTTCTGTGGTTATGTAAGAAAGATAAACTGGCTGAGTGGTGGCGGTGCATGCCTTTAATCCCAGCACTGGGGAGGCAGAGGCAGGTGGATCTCTGTGAGTTCGAGACCAGCTATAAGAGCTAGATCCAGAACAGCCTCCAAAGCCACAGAGAAGCCCTGTCTCGAAAAAAACCAAAAAAAAAAAAAAAAAAAGACAAAATGAGGTGTGCATGGTGGTGTATGTTTATAATTCCAGCACTTGAAGCAGAAGAATCACAAGTTCAAGCCAACTAGATCTTAACAATGAGACCCTATCTCAATCATAAAACCCATCTGAAAAAGAAAATCCAAGAAAGGAAGGAAAAAGAATTACACTTAAGTTTGGCACGAAATACATATTGAGTTATTTCCTTCTAATGTCAACATTTGCTTTAGTCTGACTTTGACAGAAATGTTTTAGCAAAATTCTTTTGTTTGGCTCATAAGCCAAGGGAGGTTCTGGGAAAGTTAATAAGTCATTATGCAAGGTCTAGAGCTATTTATTCTGTCTCCTTACCTGACAGTGTCTACCAGTCTTCTTGCGATGCGCTTTCTTCTTTTCAATCTGAAGACCCAGATTCTACTTATTCCACAGATTGCAGGTTCTGGTACATCTGAACACTGCCAAGCTCTAGAAGATTCTTTAGTGGCATTTGGTTCTGACAGAACACGAAAGGCCTGCAATTTTACACAGTCTATAGTTAAAAACCACAGACTTTTCTTTCAAAAAGCAAACAAAAATACAAACTTTAAACAAAACCGTCCATAGTTTGAATCAATCTCCAAAAAACAATGTCTTTATTCCTTAAATTCTTATATTTATGTGTATGAGTGTTCATTTGGTCATGTATGTATGCGCACTTGTGTGCCTGATGTCTGCAGAGGTCAGAAGAGGGCACTAGATCCCCTGGACCTGGAGTTAAAAAATGGTTATAAACCATGGACTGACATCGAACTAAAAAGCATATGAAAGGACACAACATGGTGAAAGACAACTGAGAGAAAACATCTACAAACCATATATGTTGTAAGGAGTTTAAGTCCAAAATATACAAGGAGCTCAACTTAATAGCAAGAAAATAACCCAAATTTAAAAATGAAACAAGGGCCCAGGAAGATGGTTCAATAGGAAAAGCATTTGCTGTGCAAAACTGACAATCTGAGGTTTATTTCCTATATCTCACAGTGGAAGGAGAGAACCAACCCCACATGTGTCACACTCTCATACATCACGTATACAATCATAATAAAATAAAATTTGAGAAGTTGGACAAGGGTCTGACTGCCCCTTTTGAAAAAGACCTACAAATGGCTCACAGGTGTTTAAAGAAATGTTCAATGCTACTAAATCAAGGAGATGCAAATTAGAACAAGGAGGTATATCACATCTGTTAGAATGGCTACATAAAAGTAAAAAGTCTTGGCTAAGACAGGGAACCCATATATGCAGCTGGTGGGAATGTAATAATCAGTAGTGGAAACAGTATGGAAGTCTCTCAAACACACCAAAATTAAAATTAACAACAAAAACTGTATGACTCAGTATTCCCACTTCAGGATATGTCTCTGGAAGAAAAAATAGAGGAGGTTGAAGATGCCTCTCAGGTTCACTGTGGCATCACACACAAAACTCAGAGCACAGAATCAACTTACGTGTTCATCAATGAAGAAATAAAACAGTCAAGGAAATTCTGCTCAACTATAACACAAAATTTTGTCAAGGATATGTCAAGAACAATTAGCAATCATAAAATGGCAGATCTTGTGCAATCTAACAAATACAGAACTTAAAAGTTGAACTCATTGATGCAGAGAGTAAAATCGCTATTGGCAAAAACTAGAAGACAGTGAGGGAAGGTAGTGGAGAATGTCAATGATTAAATGAGAGTAAGCTCTAGAGGCTTCTGCATGTTCATATGTTTTAATGTATATATGCATGCATGTACATGGTATGTCCAGTATAGTTAAGATAGAATTAAGTCAGACCTAGTAGCACAGGCCTCAAACACAGGAGGTGGAGTGGAGGCAGGAAGATCACAACTTCAAGGCCCACCTTATCAACTTGCAAATAATTTCTTCCAAAAAGTACAACCTGGTGTTTTAATTATGGTGACATTATGAGTTAACTAAGTAAATCTAGGCAGTTAACATATTTATCACCATACTTATTTCCCTGTGAGAAAAAAAACTGAAGATCTTCTTTTCTCTGATTTATAACAAGATAACTGTCTTTTAGGACACTATTAATTAGTGTCTAGAACAGATTCTAGTTGGGTATAGTGGCAAACACTTTTAATCCCAGACTTGGGAGGAAGAGGCAGAAGGATCTCTATGCATTCCATTCCAGGCCAGCCACAGCTAGAGACCTTGCCTTTAAAAAAACAAAAAGTATATTCTAACTGAGAAATAAGTAATGACTATTTAGCTAAATACATCCACTAAGTGCTTATGCTGTGTAAGTGTAATAACTTAGGTCTAGTCTACAGGTTCTTATATAAAAATCACTGAATTTTTATACTTCCAGGTAGGAAAATAGCTACATGAAAACAATACTTATTCTGCTTAGGACAAAATACTAAATACAACAAAGATAAGTGGATTTAATTACAGTCAAAGATATTTCAGTAACCTAAGAGACATACAGCATACCTGTTTGATGGGCTCTGCTATTAAACATCCCACTACTCTCTTTTCATCAATAAAGAGGAAAGTTTTGGTTTTGTTTGGACACTTGGGAACAACATGATGGAAGCCCAATTCCATATCCACAAGGTCTTGGACATCTTCTACCTAACAGTGTTTAAAAAAAAAACAAAACAACAACAACAAAAAAACACAGAAGGTGAATTTGTATTAAAAAGCACAACAAAACTAAATTTGTGTATACTCACAAAACATGATCACCATCACTACTTAGCTTCTTTAACTCTATGTCCTAAATTTACATACACTCAAACTTATTTCAGAATTGATGAACACACCTGGTACTTAGGGAAAAGGGCTTAAGAACCTACTTTAAAGAATGCTTTTAAGTCACTCGGAATCCAAGAAGAGGAGTCAGAGGCACCTGGTGGATTCATTTTAGCATTATTTATTATTTTTGTTGGCGACATTCAACTCAGGAAACAGAAGCAACATCAACTTGAGAACTATTACATCTGACTTGGACACTGTACAGCCACTATGAACTGTTAAAGCTTAGGTCTATGCAACAAGGAAGATTGTTGGAACACCAGTTCACACTTCACTATGGTGGGTTTCTTGAGTGAGGAGAGAATGAGAAACAACCCCATACCTTTTTGATGGCATAACTTGGATCCTGTGGCAGGACCAACACAATCTTCCCATCCCAAAACTCTGCTACTACCCGTTCTCTCTTCCAACCCTGCCAAATGGGGGGAAAGGGAAAAATTATTAATTTATAAACAAAACACATAAAATACTTTGGTTTGGAGAGAATTGGTGGTCAAACAATTAGTGACAGGAAAAGCAAGATAGAGGTTCTGGTCTTGACTACCCATGGTGTAGACAAAGGCTACTTAGCTTTAATCAGTGACAATTCTCTCTGAAGTGAATGGTGAAAAATATTCATGGCTGTTCAAAGTGCAGAGAACAAGCGTTTAGCCCTAACAGGACACTTATACCATTCTCTCTAAGACTCAGAACATAACAGAAGAGAAAATAGTATCAGAAGACAAGGAGAAGGGCTATAAAGTGCCATCTTGTGGGCATGAGACTGCAATTACAATCCTGAACTCACAGCAGCTGTAGCCCAAACTGGACCTGCTGAATTATCTGAGGTAGGCTGGCGGCAGCAAACTGAGTTCCCAGAGGTGGAAGATCATGAAAAGAGGGTACAAATGGACTAAAGCTAGGTAACACTGAGGCTCAAATGCTTTCCCCTTTCAGCAGGTCAGCATAGGTCAGACCCTACATTGTGTCTGATGTCTGAATGTGAAATGTCTCCAGCAGTTTAATGTGCTTGAATACTTGTCCCCTGCTGATAGCACTGTTTTAGAAGGTTGTGGAACCTTCATGAAATGGAGCTTTGCTGGAGGAAGTGGAATACTGGGGGATAGGCCTTGAGTTTTTAAAGTTGGGTTCCATTTCCTGTTCACTCTCTGCTTCCTGACCACAGATAACAATGTGACCAGCTGGCTTCCTACTCCTGCTACCATGCCAGAAACTATGTCTTCATGATGGTGGCATGGTTACCTTCTACTATAAATGAGAATAAACCCTTTTCTCTTTAAATTAACTCCTGCCAAGTTATTTTGTCACAGTAGAGAGAAAAGTAATTAGTTCTACACAAAGGAATGTGGAAACTCTCATTCACATATTCCCTCCTTAATGTTTCTGTCCACATCCCTCTGTGTAGACCTTAGAGGGATATAGTCCTCAAGAGCCTTCTAATTGTGCTAAGTGATTATTCTACTTCCATGGTTTCTGCCAGTGAACCTTCTCTATGCATGTGCATATGTAGCATGGATGCATTGGCAATGTCCTTACATTTTTGCCCTTATACTTGAAAAGAGTACATGTTCGTTGTTTTGCCACTCTAATCCCAATATCCTGCAGGCGTTTACCTAATCTAGGACACTGGAACTGCATTATGTAGAACAGCATTATGTAACAACCTAACCTTTAGGCTTAGGTATAGCTGCATTTGCCTAGTATATGCAAGGGCCTGAGTTTGATGCCCAGCACTGAAGGATAACAGACAAAGCTAACTTTTTAATATCATCAACCTCAGCTATTTTTATTTTTCAGGGTTGTGTATGTGCCAGCCAGAAGAGGACATGTGTCCTGTTCTTTCACTCTCTTATTTCCTTGAGACAGGGTACTCACTGACTCTGTAACTATATAGGCACCTAACAGAGCCCAGAAATCCTTCTCCACACTCTCTCTTACAGCCTTGAGGTTTTGAGCTTCTATGCAGCCACATCTGGTGCAGCAACCACTTTTACCCTCTAAGTCAGGGGTCCTCAACCTTCCAAATACTGCAACCCTTTAATACAGTTCTTCATGTTGTGGTGACCCCCAATCTTAAAATTATTTTCATTGATACTTCATAAATGTAATCTTGCTACCTTTATGAATGTAAATGTAATGTAAATATCTGATATTTCTGGTGGTCTTAAAGAGATTGTGACCCACAGGTTGAGAACCACTACTTTAAGCCATTACCCTAGCCTGATGTGTTTGTTTTCTGAAGACAAGGTCTCATTCTTACAGCTCAAACTGACAGATTTGCCTAAAACTCAATGTGTGCCCATGAACAAATTTGAACTCACAATGATCCTCCTGCCTCAACCTCTTCCCAAGTTCTGGGATCACAGGTGAGAGCTAACATGTCCAGCTAACTTCTACTGAAAGTAGTGAAATGTTTCTGGATATATAGACCTTTAAGCAAAATCAAAGGCACAAAAAGACTCCTTCCATACAGCTTCGCCTTTAGAACAAAGTGAAAGACTTCTTGACTCACCACATATTTAATTCCCTCCAGAAATCTATGGTGGTACTGGAGATGTTGCACTTCGTCTTCAGGGTTGGAAGCAGTATAGATCATGCCACAAGACTTACATATAGTTGTCCCAAAATGTTTCTGACCTGCGTCCTTGAAGAATAAGCAAGCAAACAAACAAAAGCATAAACACCAAGAATTGGATGAACAATGGGCCTTCTTTAGGAAGGGCATGTCAGACCAAGAAAAGGCAAAAGCCTCATTTCAAAGAGAAGGGAAAATATTCTGAGACTTCATATTAATCGCTGCTTGTCTTTAAATCATTTAGTGTTAAATTCTTTATCCTTAAATATTAAAAGTCTTAGCCTCAAGAACTGATAAAGTTCTACAAATTTCACTCTCATAAAACATTGTTTCTAATGTTACTGAAAATACTAGATTCTGAATTATTTAAGGCAGGGAGTGGTAGTTTTTCTGTGAAAAGGTAGAAGTAAATACTTCAGGCTTCAGACCATGCATGGTTTGTATTTGTTGTATTTGAATAAAATTTATTTGAACACTTGGACCCTGGTTGGTGGTGCTATTTGGGAAAGTTATGGAACCTTTAGGAGGTACAGCCATGCAGGAGGAAGTTCAGCACTGGGGGCAAGCTTTGAGAGCTTATATAGATTTGTCCCATTTCTTGCTGTTGTCTCTGCTTCCTGTGTAAGGCTAAAATGTGGCCAGTCAGCTTCCTACTCTGGCTGCCTGCTGTGTCTTCCTCATCATTATGACTCCCCTTCTGGAACCAGAAGCCAAAATAAACTCTTCTATGAGTCATGGTATTTTTATCATAGAACAGAAAAGTAACTAATACAGTTGTATATTCTTTTCTTTGCTCTAAAACTTCTGAAAGCCTATGTCTGGAGCCACAGGCATATAATTACAGCTACCTCAGAGGCATGCAAGTTCAAGGTCAGCTTGTGCAACTTAGTGAAATTCTGTTACGAAATAAAAAGCCTTGGGGGTGCAGTGTCGCTTAGCGGCTTAGTGGCAGAGTCTTGCCTGTCCATGAAGGAGATCATTGGGCTTAATTCCTAGAACCACAAACAAAAACCATATAAAAAATGTTAACTACTATTTTCAGTTAACAGATATTGGAACTTGATCCAGTCCATGGCCATAGTTTGTTAAACTTAGTTCTAATTTAATGTTGCTATTCCCATTCCATCTTCTGTTGATCAATGATTTTCTTACCTGGGAACAAACCATTCATAGCATCCTACTCCAATACTAGCACTACAAGCTCCAAAGCACTGGCTAGCTTTGAATGCTACTACAACAAAGCTAGCAATTACAATCCTGGAAACCTAACCCAAGATAACCATGCTGAAAGGCTGACTGCAGGTTCTACAAGTGCAAAAGGTTTATTTGAAATTTACTCACAATGACAAACTGGGCTTTTCCTCCTTTATTTGTATCTCTGGAATTCATATTTTTCTGCACAATTGACTGTTTCAAGACGTTAGTACATGTAGTGGATCCCATAGAAGACAGTTCTTCAGGTGAAGATCTTGAAAGAGAAAGTTGGTAAATAGTATTGAACAGTGAGAAACCTGAGGTCCACCCAGAAATAATCATTTACTCAAAAGAAGCAAGCATAATGAGGAAATTCAGTATTAAGACTCAAATCCAGATCTGACTTATATCCAAATACTTTCCTCTGTAGTATCAGGCACACATTATATGGAATTACTTTGGAAGCTAACTTTACTCTAAAATGGACTTTCCTTTGCTGACAGATCTTAAGACAGTATTTACGAATTTAAATAAAGATGTTAAATAAAGATAGGTAGATGTTCATGTTTAATCTCATAGAGCCAAGGCAACCACAGTCACCAACACATTAGGATCCAGCAACTTTTTACTTGGGCCAGTAAGAAACTGTCTCAGAAAATCAGGTAGACAGCTCCTTAGCAATGTCATCCAAAGTTGACGTCTGGCTTCCACAGGTATGTGTGCATATGTGCACAACGGTTCGGTTCACATGAATGTACATGGAGGGGGTGGGGGGAGAAATCTTGACCAAAATTTTCTCTGCTGAATACCTAGTCATCTAGCACCAAATGGGTGAGGAAAAAAAAATCTGTGTTTTTTTAGCAAGATGTTTAGACAATACCAAATGTGGATCTTCTACTTGTCATGCTCTCTACCTACCTACACAAACTCATCACAGTATTTAGCTTCAGCCATGACTTATAATAGCATTAAACTACTCTTTTTTTTTTTTTTTTTGGTTTTTCGAAACAGGGTTTCTCTGTGTAGCTTTGGAGCCTATCCTGGCAGTCGCTCGGGAGCCCAGGCTGGCCTTTGAACTCAAAGAACCCCCCCTGCCTCTGCCTCCCGAGTGCTGGGATTAAAGGCGTGCGTCACCAACGCCCGGCTTAAACTACTCTTAATTATTTACTTCTCTGGCCACAATTTTTCCCATCTGTAAAATGCAAACTACTAGTACTTATATTATTATTACAAATGTTCATTAAAATTTATTGTTAATATACTGTCACCTAGAGAAGGCAATATAACCCAATGAGCTTTTGATTCAAATGTGGATTCTATTCCTGGCCCTAGCACTGAGCACCTACTAGCTGTGCAGTGATGGCTAAATTTTCCTCAGCTGAGATGTAATTATAACAACACCAATGGTGTTTACCTTCTAGATTGTCCTGAGGGTCTTTTTTGTTTCCTTAGGACAAGGTTTCTCTGTGTAGCCCTGGCTGTCCAGGAACTCGCTTTGTAGACCAGGTTGGTCTCTAACTCTCAGAGATCCACTTGTCTCTGCCTTCCAAGTGCTGGGATTAAAGGTGTACACCACCATGCCCTGCTTTTTTAAGATAGTTGGTGCTGGGGTGTGTGTGTGACCGTGTCCTGAGGATCTTTAAGTGAAATAGTAAACTAATTACTACAAGCCAGGTACTATATAATAATGTAACAATTATTACTCAAGTCCATAAAGATCTATTCCATCTCTATGAAAAAAAAAACTTACATCTTCTGTTGTCAATATTATTATTTCCTCTTAGTGTTACAGACAAAAAGAAAAAGAAAAAAGAAAGCCTATATAATTAATGAAATTAGGACTATAGAGCAAAAATAATTCCTACCTTTTTGTATTCACTGAAGAAACACTGAAGATGGGATAGATGACAGACTCAGAAGAAACTGGTAGGGGAGGAAACCAGCAATATTGGATTACCAAAGAGAATCTAAGTTGACTCATAAGACTCTGAAGTTATTAAGAACAAAATATTTACATTACCTGACTTCAAGAGTCAACCATAATCAAGAACGTACAAATTGACAAAGAGACAGGCAGGTCAATGGAACAAAGGACATCAGAAATTGTCTCATACAAATAAACTAACAATTTCTGGCAGTCAAAGGTAATCTTTGACAGATGGCATTAGAACAATTGGGCACCCATTCACCGATCAAAATGTTAAGTTATAAAAGTATAAATCCTGTGACACTGGATTAGAGACAGCAATACGAACTCACGATAAAACAGGAAGTGAAGACACACAGAAACAACTGTGTATGTTCTCCAGTTCTGTCTGGAGAGAGGGCCTGGAAGCAAAAGCACTCTAGTAACACTTATACTCAGAGCTTAGATCTTGATTTCTAAATACCATTCTCCAATAAAAGGAGTCAAAGTTCTGTGGAGAAATTGCTGACTCTAGGACTGGAGCAGAATGAGCCCATAGCAACATGTAGAAATCAGGAACTCAGACAGTGCTCAAAAAACAAAGATGAGACATGCCAAAGAGCACAAACCTGAAAAACAACCCTCATTGTCAAACCAGAACAATTTAAACAATAAAAATTAAATCCAAAATGTAAAATACTCACTTATTCATAATGACACATATTTATGAGCTCATTTGTTTACTTAAATGAGGGAATAAATAAAAAGATAGATCTGAGAACATCTAACTCCCTAGAGAGCTTAGGTAGAGCTGGTAAGATGGCTCAGTAGATAAATCACCTGATCCCAAGTTCAACTCGAGTAACAACAAACAAAAAAAACAAAACAACTAAACAAAAAAACAGATACAGAGTATGGTGCCTGCAATCCCAGTATTCCTATGGGGAGATGGAGTTAGAGGAGAATCATCACACAGGCCAGTTATCGGGAATATAGAAAACAGAAATAAGAAACCCTAATTAAACAAGGTGGAAACAGAGAACCCACTCCAGAAAGTTATCCTCTGACTTGCACACATGTACCATGCCATACGGGCTCCTATAGTTGCACACAAAATAATAATAGAGAGCTTAGGAAATTTAGGAATAGTCAGATTACTTAAGGATAAATTTGCCCCCCCTCCCAGGTTTTAACCTAAAATCTCCTTTCCTGCTTTTCAAAACATACTTCACTGCTTTACCAGAGGCAACAGTTCCCTAGAGATGAACAGGCACAGTAACTTTCTAAAAGGCCCAGAAAATATAAAATTCCATACAAATATGCAGTGAAGCTTGATACAAGTTGTAAGGCTGATTAATGCAGATTTTCTTACTTACTTGTCTTGTTCTCACCAAGTGAATTCTCTGAAGGCAAATTATGTTTATCAAGTTTACATTCTTTTGAGGAAACTTCAGCACCTGAGGAATTCTGAAAATAATTAACAAGTTAAAAAAATATAGGAAATTTTAATTCTTAGTAGTTTTCCATTGGGTGAACGAATCTCAATAGATTGATCATGTGTAACACTTCAGAGCATGATTCATCAATTTTCAATCTATTTTTTAGGAGAATTTCCTCTGCATTCATTGAATATGGATCATCTTTAAACATCAGAGCATAGACAAAGACTGCAATACTTGGAAAAAAAAAAAAAAAAAAAGGCATGCTCCAAGGACTGGAGAGATGGTGCAGTGGTTAAGAGCTCTGGCTGTTCTTCCTGGGGACCCAGGTTTGGGTCTCAGCACCCACATGGTGATTCTAGTCTGTAGCACCAGTTCCAGGGAATTCAATTCCCTCTTTTGGCCTGAGGAGGGCACTATACACACATGCACATACCTACATACAGGTAAAACACTCATACATACCAAAAGTAATAATACACCCCTAAAAAAGTATACTTCCAGATAGAGATGGCAGAATGAAAATTATAAACCATTCTTTTCATAATAATGAAATTAACTAAACAGCAGGGCGGTGGTGGTGCGTGCCTTTAGTCCCAGCACTTGGGAGTCAGAGGCAGGCAGATCTCTGTGAGTTCGAGAGATCAGCCTGGTCTACAAGAGCTAGTTCCAGGATAGCCTCCAAAGCCACAGAGAAACCCTGTCTTGAAAAACCAAAGTTAGTGAAAATGGAAAAATAAACTTTCTCAAACTAGAAAGGGATAATTCTCATTATGGACTTTAAAAACAGTAACCAGAGCCAAAGACAGGTAGGTTGGTAAAATGCTTGCGGTGCAGTATATGGACCCAAGTTAGATTCCAGCACCTTATGGTGCTTGTAATCTCCAGGCCAGAGAAGCAGACAGGCAGCATAATTGGCTCTGACCCAATGAAAACACCCAGTCTCAAAAAAAAAAAAAAAAAAAAAAAATTTCCAAATAGATGGCACCTGAGAAACACTTGCAATGGGCCTCTCATTCCCAAGGTGTGCACATGCATGCACACATATAGGAACCACATTCTGGAGTCATTAGAGGGAGTTTTGCCCATAATAATTCCTTTTTAATAGTAGCAGAGAACAACAAAAAGTACAAAAAAAAGTACTGCTTACATTCCAGAAAACAATACCTAAAGCCTAGAGAGGTATCACTTTTCTACCCGTCTTTTATTTTTTCGTTTTATGAGACTGTTCAAAAAAATCAAATTTCATTTACTCATGTGTTCTACATAATTATACACATAATTCATATATATCTAAACTTTAGCTGTTCTTGAATGATACATTTAACTTTACCTCTCTTAGTTTCTCTTTATTTTTACTTCTTGCACCCAGTATCTCAACATTCAATTTCTCTTCCACAAACAAGGTCTTTGGTACTTGCTTTGCCTCCAGGACAGCCTCTCCAGTCACCTCTGGTTCATTTTTCTGTAAGTGTATTGGTAATGACTCATCTTCCAGGGATGACTTTTTAAGAGTTTTTCTTTTCTTAACAAAAAATGCTGCTCCACCCTGGAGTGTAACTTGCGGTTTTATTTTCTGGCTTAGAACCCGAGGAGGAGTATTTGGATGATTTTCTGCTGGATAATAACTATTCTCTTTATCCACAGCTGGCTTATAGCTCATTTGATTTGGCTTGGAATTTTTATTGTTTCTTGATATAGACTTGATGCGCTTATAATTTGGCTGATATTTAGCAGTTAAACTTTTCTGTGGTTTTTTGTTCTTCTTAGTACAGACTGGTTTTCTCTGTTTTTCTGTCACACTGGGAAAAGATTTATCTCCATTTTCAGTTGCTAGACAAATAGACCTACACTCTCTTATCAACTTCCTCTCAAGTGGATTGAGGTATTGTTTATTTTTATTGTAGAAAGATACAGTAGACACAACAGATTTAACTACTGAACTGTCATTTGCAAATAACAACCTATTACTTTCCATTATTTTGAGAGGACTTGAAGTGAAATCGTCTTGGTAGGAGCAAGACTTTCCTTCCTTTTGTTCACTGCTTTGACAAGTATGTTTTTTATTAGGTGATGGAAAGAGATTTTCAGAAGAGTTTAAATTTAATTTTCTTGATGAAGTATCTGTTAATAGGCTATAAAAAAAAGAAACAAAGTCCATCAGTAAGTTCAGCATTTTTTTCAAAATTTATATCTATTAATAAACTCCCTACTAGTCATACAAACATAATACATCCCAACTCATTGACATATTCATATAATCTATTAATTTAACAGAATCCTTAAATTCTGTCTTTATTAAATAAAGCATTTAAATATATTTCGGAAGATAACTTCCATAAGCCAGGCTTGGTGGCACCTTTGATCCCAGTACTTCAGAGATAGAGGCAGGCAAATCTCTGAATTGAATGCCAGCCTGATCTACATGCAGACTTTCAGGATAGCCAAGACTACATAGAAGGACCTTGTCTAATTCCAATACTCAGGAAGCAAAGGCAGGCAGATCTCAATGAGTTTGAGGCCAACCTGGTTTACACAGCTAAGAAGTCTCAAATTAAAAACAAAACAAAAGCCAAAGGCCTAGTGGGATGGCTCAGCTGCTAAGAGCACTGGCTGTTCTTCCAAAAGACCCAGGTCTGAATCCCTGAACATAGTGGTTCACAAACCATCTGTAACTTCAGTCCACTTTATGGGGACTGCATCTATCTGGTACACAGACATAACGCAGACAAAACATGAATTAAATTAAAAAAAAAAAAACCTACAAATTATTCTCCATGTATTTTTCCCAATTAGCTATTATTTTCTGTAATAAACTGTCTCTTTGAGGCCTTTTGTATCTGGCATGACTGGATTTTTCTTTCTTAAAGAGTTCCTATGAACTAGATGGTAATGGCATACGTCTTTAATCTCAGCAGAGGCAGTTGGATCTCTGTGAGTTCGAGGCCAGCCCGGTCTACAAAGCAAGTTCCAGGACAGCAGGAGCTACAGAGGGAAACCCTGTCTTGGGTAAAAACAAACAAACATACATAGGTGTGTGCAATATTTCCCCAGCCCACCCTCCTCTCCTTCCTTCGGTCACTGTTTCAGTCTCTATTTTAGTAACTTCCCAATTAGCTATTGGGAAGGCCTTATCTTCTCCGAGGAGCAAATGAGAAGGGAGGTGGGGGAGCTGGAGGAGAGGAGGGAGGGGGAACTGGGATTGGAATGTAAAAAAATAAAAAAATTAAAAAATACTTTAAAACAAACAATAGGTTAAGATTTACCTATCACCATTATCATCATTCAGGGTGTATCGTTTCCTCTTCCTTGGCGTAAAAGTTGCCATCATCTTAACTGAATTCCTAAAAGCAACAAATAGGTCAGTATTAATAATCAAAGCCATCAAGCGAATAGAAAATGCACTTGCACTATGTCAAAATTGTATTTTAAAAATCCAAAATCTATCGGGGCAGTGGTGGCACGTCTTTAATCCCAACAATGAGGAGGCAGAGGTAGGAGCATCTCTGTGGTAGGAGCTCTCTGTGAGTTCAAGGCCAGTGTGGGCCACAGTGGGAGTTCCAGGACAGCAGGGGCTACAATATGGAAATGTTTTCTGGGGTGGGGGAGGGGATCCGAATTGCAAATAAATACCCAAGGAAATAGTGCCTCATGTAGTCGAAGCTGGCCTCAAATTCAAACATATTCACTCTAGCCAAGCATGAACTTGGAGAAATTTGAGTCTTCCAGGGCTGGGATCATAGGCTGAGCCAGCATGTCTGTCTCCAAATAACAGGTTTTCTTTTTTTTTTTTTTTTTACACTGAAGTGAAATCGTCTTGGTAGGAGCAAGACTTTCCTTCCTTTTGTTCACTGCTTTGACAAGTATGTTTTTTATTAGGTGATGGAAAGAGATTTTCAGAAGAGTTTAAATTTAATTTTCTTGATGAAGTATCTGTTAATAGGCTATAAAAAAAAGAAACAAAGTCCATCAGTAAGTTCAGCATTTTTTTCAAAATTTATATCTATTAATAAACTCCCTACTAGTCATACAAACATAATACATCCCAACTCATTGACATATTCATATAATCTATTAATTTAACAGAATCCTTAAATTCTGTCTTTATTAAATAAAGCATTTAAATATATTTCGGAAGATAACTTCCATAAGCCAGGCTTGGTGGCACCTTTGATCCCAGTACTTCAGAGATAGAGGCAGGCAAATCTCTGAATTGAATGCCAGCCTGATCTACATGCAGACTTTCAGGATAGCCAAGACTACATAGAAGGACCTTGTCTAATTCCAATACTCAGGAAGCAAAGGCAGGCAGATCTCAATGAGTTTGAGGCCAACCTGGTTTACACAGCTAAGAAGTCTCAAATTAAAAACAAAACAAAAGCCAAAGGCCTAGTGGGATGGCTCAGCTGCTAAGAGCACTGGCTGTTCTTCCAAAAGACCCAGGTCTGAATCCCTGAACATAGTGGTTCACAAACCATCTGTAACTTCAGTCCACTTTATGGGGACTGCATCTATCTGGTACACAGACATAACGCAGACAAAACATGAATTAAATTAAAAAAAAAAAAACCTACAAATTATTCTCCATGTATTTTTCCCAATTAGCTATTATTTTCTGTAATAAACTGTCTCTTTGAGGCCTTTTGTATCTGGCATGACTGGATTTTTCTTTCTTAAAGAGTTCCTATGAACTAGATGGTAATGGCATACGTCTTTAATCTCAGCAGAGGCAGTTGGATCTCTGTGAGTTCGAGGCCAGCCCGGTCTACAAAGCAAGTTCCAGGACAGCAGGAGCTACAGAGGGAAACCCTGTCTTGGGTAAAAACAAACAAACATACATAGGTGTGTGCAATATTTCCCCAGCCCACCCTCCTCTCCTTCCTTCGGTCACTGTTTCAGTCTCTATTTTAGTAACTTCCCAATTAGCTATTGGGAAGGCCTTATCTTCTCCGAGGAGCAAATGAGAAGGGAGGTGGGGGAGCTGGAGGAGAGGAGGGAGGGGGAACTGGGATTGGAATGTAAAAAAATAAAAAAATTAAAAAATACTTTAAAACAAACAATAGGTTAAGATTTACCTATCACCATTATCATCATTCAGGGTGTATCGTTTCCTCTTCCTTGGCGTAAAAGTTGCCATCATCTTAACTGAATTCCTAAAAGCAACAAATAGGTCAGTATTAATAATCAAAGCCATCAAGCGAATAGAAAATGCACTTGCACTATGTCAAAATTGTATTTTAAAAATCCAAAATCTATCGGGGCAGTGGTGGCACGTCTTTAATCCCAACAATTAGGAGGCAGAGGTAGGAGCATCTCTGTGGTAGGAGCTCTCTGTGAGTTCAAGGCCAGTGTGGGCCACAGTGGGAGTTCCAGGACAGCAGGGGCTACAATATGGAAATGTTTTCTGGGGTGGGGGAGGGGATCCGAATTGCAAATAAATACCCAAGGAAATAGTGCCTCATGTAGTCGAAGCTGGCCTCAAATTCAAACATATTCACTCTAGCCAAGCATGAACTTGGAGAAATTTGAGTCTTCCAGGGCTGGGATCATAGGCTGAGCCAGCATGTCTGTCTCCAAATAACAGGTTTTCTTTTTTTTTTTTTTTTTAACCAAACTAGTCAGGTGTGAGGGTGCCAATGGGAAGAAGAGGCAAAGGATCCTGAATTTGGGGCCAGCCTGGGTCACAGGGGTCGCAAAAAGTAAAGCTGTAAGTTACTAAAATAGAGACTGAAACAGTGACCGAAGGAAGGAGAGGAGGGTGGGCTGGGGAAATATTGCACACACCTATGTATTTAGAGCAGAAAGGTGGGTGAGCCTAACAAGGCCAGGTGGACCCTAATTAGAGGCAAACTTTTCTTTAATTAAAATAATCACATCAAGTTTTAGCACTCCTGGTAGGCCGTCCTTGGCACTGCCCTCCTTCCACAATGCCCACTAATGGATGCTCTTGTCCCCAGCTTCCCTCGCACCCTATGCCTCCTCCATATCCCATTTAGCATACATTCTGACTAACCATCTCCAAAGCCTGCACCTTCAGTGACTGCAAGCCTGTGTGGACCCTTCCTGGAATCCGAGCAAGGGAATGTGGGGACCACAGTCGTTCCCACAGGTGCCAGCTGGGCTCCCTCGCAGGAGCTTCCTCATTTATAAACAACCCGAACCTCGTCAGGCAGCTGCTAAGGACATACAACAGGCAAGCCTCTTCCCATAGGGAGATAACTCTAGAATGTTCTTTCCTTCCTTTCCCCTTCCCTCGGTTCGGGTATGTCAGTCCCACAGAATTCCACCTCCAAGCTAAATGGAAAGTCTGCGGGGTTCAGGGACTACCCCCGCCGGCTGCGTGAGAAGCGGGCACCCGGAGCAGGAGCCCCGAGTGAGGAGCAGTCGGCGTACGCCCACAGCCAAGTCCCCTGCCCCGTGACGTTACCTGCGCTCCTCAGCCTCCCGCTGGCTCGGCGTCCACTCGGGCTAAGGACTCTCCGCACCTCAGCAAGGTCGCAACTCTCCTCACAAGCGCACGGCGCTCTGCCAGTGCGTTCAAATTCACGCGCGCCACTTGAGACCAACGCTGCTGCATTCTGATTCGTCGCTGCTCAGAGCTTCCTAGAGCCTGAGTCCTGATTGGTTTCTCACTGGTCCTTGCTCCGCCCTCCAGGGTGGTGGCTTCCAAGATTCTCCCGCCCTTGTGAGGCAAAGTGGAACGGGTTCAAGGAAGCCACGCCTCCTTAAAAAAAATCTGGCCCCCACCTCCGGTTCCAGGACACAGGCGTGTGAAAGTGCATTGTGGGAATTGTAGTTTATAGCTCAGCCGAATCGGAAGTAAAATTCTGAGGTAGTTTATTGTAAGCAGTTTAAGTGATATATCCAAGATACTGGAGGCTCTTATTTTTCATATTTGAAGTCTGATTATTGGGTTTTCTTTTGAAAAAATCATTATTTTAGATTTCCATTTCACTTTTTTTTTTTTTTTTGGTTTTTCGAGACAGTGTTTCTCTGGATAGCTTTGGAGCCTATCCTGGCACTCACCCTGGAGTGGTCTCGAGTTCGAGGCTGGCCTCGAACTCACAGAAATCCGCCTGCGTCTGCCTCCCGAGTGCTGGGATTAAAGGCGTGCACCATCAACGCCCGGCCACTATTTTATTCTTCAAATTATGGCATGAACATTCACTAAATTCTAAGCGTTAAATTTCTTTACATATTTTAAAAGATTTTATTATTTTTAATTATTCTCATGTCTGTGAGTGGGTATGTGCGTATAAGTGCAGGTGCCAGCAGAGGCCAGAGGAGTTGGATTCCCTGGATTGAGGGCATTGGAAATTGAACTCAGGTGCTCTTCAGGAGTAGTATGTGTTCTGAATAGCTAGGCCCAAAAATATCTCCAGCTTAATGCTTTACATATTTTACCTCAGTTATTCCTCACCACAATCTATGAAGTTTGTATTATCATCATTCCTACTTTACAGAAAGTGAAGGCCTGTAGACAATTGCTATTTATGCAGAAGGCCTGTGTTACCCCACCCAGCACTACTTTATCATGTGTCCTTAGCAAGTGAAAATGTTTTTAAATCACTCACCAGTTTTAATGGAGTCATCAGCTTCTAGCATTCTTGAACACATATTTAGTTCTAGACAAGTTTAAGTGATGCCATTTTTCACAGAACAAAATTGGCTGGAATGAAGTGACAAAAGACTAGCAATTTAGCTATTTACATGATTCGTGAATAGGTCAACTTCTGTGTTAGAAGATAGAATGAAAGTTCCTATTGGGTAATGGTAAAGTGTTTCATTGAGGGAAATGTCTTTGAACCTGGGGCCTCACTACCCCAAATCCACCCACAACTTAAAAAATCAGGATCTATCTCTGGAGTTCTAGAATCCTGGTTGTAACAGGGTCCCAGACCTTAGCACAAATGACTTCATGATGGAAATGCCATTTAGGCTATAAAACTTACCCTGTAGACAGTACCACAAGCCAAAATGAAAACAAAGACCTAATTCATCAAAATCCATAGTTCTGGGAAAGTCTCTAAATTTACTAACTTTGCTTTTTGGCTTCTATAGTTCTGCTTCTGCCTAAACTTTTCTTGAATGTCAACCCAGGCCATGTTTTTTGTGCTTAAAATCTCTCCCTGAGAAAGGCTCAGGGCTCTACTGTGATACTGAATCCCTAGTGTGGTCCGCCACCAGCAAATAAAGACTTTCTTTTGGCTTAAACCCATGTCTGAACAGTCTGGTGGATACTCTAGAACCCTGACCAGCGCCATGGGACCTGGGAAAATGGTGGGTTTTGTAAAGTAAAAGAACTGGAATAGGGGGAACCGGTTAATATCAGGCTATGGCTAGTTACTTTTTTGAAAGAGTTAAAGCCAGGGAACTTTTTTATCATGCAGATTCTATTAGACTGGGATTTCCTGTTTTTTAGGGAAGACCAGGCTCTCAAGGGATCCTAAAACTTCAATTTCTGTGGCTTCTCACTTGAGTAACTCTACTTTTGTTTCATCTGACTTGTTGGGGCTTGTTGGAGGGATTCAGTTTGAAATAGACTCTCATAAATTTCGTTTTCAGAAATAAGAAAAAATACCGTTGGATGGTGGTGGCACACACCTCTAATCCCAGCACTTGGGAGGCAGAGGCAGGGGGACCTCTGTGAGTTTGGAGGCCAGCCTCATCTACCGAGTGAGTTCCAGGACTGCCAGGAGTGTTTTACAGAGAAACCCAGTGGGGTGGGGGGGGGGAGAGTAACTCAAACCTAGGTGCTGTGGGACATTTTGTAAATTTAAAGCAAGAAATTTTGAAGTTCAGAGATTTGGAATCTGTCCAGTCTTGTAGGTAATAAAAGGCAGACTTTAGATTCAAAGGGACAAGAGTCTGAGTTCAAACCCCAATATACAAACTGCCTCCCAAGAGTATCAATGACAATTCATTTGAATGCCTTCTGTATTCTGCCCTTGATGCACAGCAATTTATTTGTGACAGGGCAAGACAGTGCAAGGTTCTTCCTCCACCTTGTATTCTTGCTGAGGCCATTTCAGATTGAACTAAGATTTGATGGAGAATCCCATGGAAAATTACCCAGATCTATTTTTGACTAGTTTGGTCAAGTCAAAATCAGCACAACAACACAACAAAACCTCACCTACGTCAAGTAGTGGAGGAATGAATTCATTTAAAATTGAATTGGCTCCTACTGAGTGCTTCCTGATGTAATGGGTACAAGGACATTTAACTCTGAAAACGGCAGTTTCTGCATTCATGGAGCCCATGCTGGTTAAGGGGGAAGACAGATAAAAAGCAATTTTTCCTTATGGCTTCAAACAAGATGCAGTTTCCCGCTAATTTCCTTCAGCCAGCCGCTAGGGCACAACCCTCAGGCACTGGGCCACCTGCCCTCCCGCAAACACGCTTCCCTTCGCCAGGACTAAAGATGGCGCCGACAGCACCGCGTTGTGACGCGACCCCACGTCCGCCGGAAGTGTCTGAAGGAGAGCCTGGAAGCCGGCTCACCCTCGCGCCGGTGGGATCTTGAGCTGGGCGATTTGAGCGGGAGGTGCTACTCTTCTACCAGCATCATGGTGTTCTACTTCACCAGCAGCAGTGGTGAGTGACGCAGGACCCTCCGGGGTCCTGCTCGCAGCTGCCTCCAAAGCCGGGATTCCCCAGCCGCCGCTGGGCTTGGACCTCGTCCTGAAGCGCATCCTCCAGCGGGCGCCGCTCCCACCGCTTTCTGGGTCCTTGCGCGGCCGTCCCCTCGGTTGCCTAGTGGTCCCCTGGTCAGAGCCTGGTGGGCACCGTGGGAATGCGCTCCGCTTTCCTTCCACCCGGGAATCATTCTCGTGCCTACCTGACAGACCCGCCAACGCTTCCTGGGCTTGGGCAGTGTGTGTGTTCCTGCACACCCTCCCCGTCTCAAGCCTTTGCCATAGCATTCTGGAAGCAGCCTGGAGGATCGACATTGACCAATGAGACTGGTGCCGACAGATGTGTCCTACAGGAAGAGTACCTTGCCCTTCTGAGAAGGGAAGGGCTGGGGTGCCATGGGAAGAAATAGAGTAACTAGAATGTCAGTACAACTCCTTACTGGGCAGAGCCAGTTGACATATGGTAATAGTACTGAGCTGGTATTGGAAGGCCAGAAAGTGGTGTTTCGGTTTCCAGGAAATGCTGTGCCAATTTAGTTTACTCGCTCGTATTGGTCCTTTTGTCCACAATCAATCTCTGGTTAACGTTCACCCTTTTAGAACAGCTCTGACTTTTCCAAGACACCTTTTGAGACCAAGTTTGCACGTCATGATTAAGTATACCTTTTCCGTGCCCCTTAACATTCCTTTGGCACTGCTCTCGTGGCATTAAAAGCTGTCTGCTTGAGGTACAGGGCAGGGCTCTTGAGAGGCAGTCTGTCTTGTCTCCTAAGCATGGTGCCTTATTCAAATAGTTGGCTGCTCAGTGTGTGTGTGTGTGTTTCCCTTCTTGAGACAGTGAGTGGCTCAGGCTGGCTTCAAGCTGGGACCCTTCTGCCTCAGGGCTCCCTCGTGTTGGCATTACTTTCTAGGTCTCCCAATGTGGAGTGAGGTTCAGTGTTGGCATTTCATGGTAGTTCTTTGTTTATTTTTGGGACAGGATCTAGTTATGTAGCCCTTGCTGGCCCAGAACTCGCCATATAGATCAGCCTGACCTTGAATTCACAGAGCTCTGCCTCCCCAGTGCTGGGATTAAAGGCATGAGCTACCTAACCTTTCATGATACTTTTAATTGAAGTGTTGTTGTGTGACATGTTTCTCAGTGTGAGGTTTTGTTGCTGTTTACTAGTAGTCATGCTATTTATAAAAATTATATGTCTTTAGGTGTTTTACCCATGTGCACATCTACACACCACTTGTGTGCCCAGTGCCTATTCAGGTCAGAAGAGGGTGATCGATCCCTGCAACTTGAGTTACAGACAGTTGTTTGAGTTAGAGTGTTTGTCTAGTATTCTAGAAGTCCTGAGTTTATGTGGTACCAGAGAGTACATAAACCGAGTATGTGGTACACACAGGAATCCCGTGATTCAGGAGGTGGGGACAGAAGCTCCCAGGCTTCCTGACCATCATTTAAAATGTATGGCATCAATTTTTGTTTACTTTTGTTTTGTTTGAGTCAGAGTCTCTCAGATAGACCGTGTAGCCAAGGATGGCTTGAACTCCTGACCTCCTTCTCAAATGCTGTGATTATAGGCATACAACACCATCACAGCCCTATGTGTGTTCTGTTCAGTGGCACAGACTCTCCAGCCAACCCTGTTCCTATCTACCAGACATTGTGCTTTGTAGACTAGAGACCAAGTCACAAATTTAGATCCATTTAGGGTCAAACAAGTTTTGGTGGGATTTGTTTGGCAACCCTGCACCCGGGCCTTTCAAAGTCAATCTTAACTTTAGAATCACCATTAAGGAAAGCTTTCTAAAACACACACACACACACACACACACACACACACACACACACACACACCTCATTATGTCACCTTAAGATTTGGATTTAGTTTGTCTGAAATAGCTGGATGGGTTAATTGAATGAATAGTTTGAGCCAGTGATTGAAGAGGTTTGAGATCTGTGGTTCCTCTGAATAGAACATGGTTTCCACTAGGTAGCACACTAAAGGTTAATTAAGTAATGACAGCTAGATGAGGATACACAAAATAAAAGCTAGTTAAGTTTAGGGATGTTGTTTGTTTGGTTTTTGAGATAAGGTTTCTCTGTGTAGCCCTGGCTGTCCTGGAACTCACTCTAGACCAGGCTGCCCTTGAACTCAGAGATTCCCCTGCCTCTGCCTCCCAAGTGCAGGAATCTCTTTGTTTGTTTGTTTGTTTGTTAGTTAATTAACTTTTGGTTTTTTGGAAACAGGTTTCTCTGTGTGGCTCTGTCTGTCCCAGAACTCATTCTGTAGACCAGGCTGGCCTCTAACTCACAGAAGTCCACCTGCCTCTTCCTCCCTGAATCCTGGGACTAAAGGCGTGCGCCACCACTGCCCAGCTAGCAATCTGCTTTTAAATGCTTGCCGTAGAGATTTTTGTTTGTGAGGAATGGTTGTTGCTTATTATCTTGAAGAAAGCAAAGGTGTAGGACTGAGCTGTAAGTTGCCATTAAACTTTATCCCTGAAGTGAAATAAAAAATAAAAAGCTATTTCCCTGAAAGGAGAAAAGCAGCCATTCAGCAGTAAGGATTGGCAAATATCTCCTTTGGGGGTGAGATAATAATAAGCTCAGTAAGACTGTAATGTAGTCTCTGTGGTTTAGTCTTGTCCTGCTGTTATCAGTCACTTAAAAGTATAGAAAACTTACTCTTAAAGGATACAAGAGCAGGTGGGTAAGCCAGATGTGGCCCCTGGCTATAGTTTGCATCTCCTAATTAGAGCCTTTGACACTTGTGTTCCCCATGAAACAGGTGTGTGTGTGTGTGTGTGTGTGTGTGTGTGTGTGTGTGTGTGTGTGTGTATTTAACTAATTATCTTTTTGTTTCTGTTTTATTTTAGTTAACTCATCTACATACACTATATACATGGGAAAGGATAAATATGAAAGTAAGTTTACAAAAGCATTTGATTTTGAAATTTTAAGCAGGTAAGTACTGTTCCTGTGCTCTGTTTGTTGTGTGTATTATTTTTGTTACTAATTTCTTTAATTCCTTTTGAAAATTATACTTGACAAACAACAGTTGTCCATATTTTTGAGTACAGTGTTTTGAGTTCATACACACATTATGGGGTGATCAGATTGAAATACATAGCATTTCTGTCACCTCAAACATTTATCATTCCTTTTCATTTAAACTATTCAAGATCCTGTCTTCTAGCTACTTTGGCATGGACTTTGATAACTATATTTACTCTGCCACAAAGTAGGAGATGTGTTCTTATATGATGATTGTTTTACTGGTTGGCCAACCTCTCCCACACCTCCCAAGCCACTGGTAGCCTCTACTTCTATGAGGTTAGACTTTCTCCTCTGCTTGTCTTGTTCAACTGGGCCTGGTATGTATCTTAGTTGTAGTTTATGTGCCTTGTATGACTATAATCCTAGCATTATAGGGGATGGTGGAACTGAGGACCTCATGAAGGCTGAACACAAATACTGCAACTAAGCTACATGCCAGACACAGTTGATTTTTTTTTTCCACTTTGAGACAAGATTGCACTCTATAGCTCAGGGTGGCTTAGAACTCATAGCACACCTCCTGCCTCATGCCCTGGAGTGCTGAGCTTACACATGTGAACCACTGTGACTAGTTCAAGTTGACTTTCTTGGTGGTCGAGAGAGCAGGAGTTTGCAGCACTGATCTTGCAGTGTGAAGGTGAGAAGAACAGAACCGCAGAGGAACTGGAGAGAAAGAGTGGCATTCTTTGAGATGGGAAAACATAGCTTCCGTCCTCCTGGAGCAGTGTGAGGGTTTAGAGAAGCAGCTGTGAAGTCGTACCAGCATCAGCTCCTTAAGCAAACATGCTGTGGTTATACAAACCTCTTTGGACCGCAGATTTCTTAAATATGAGAGGCTCATGGGCTGTATCCACCGCACAAGGTTGTCAAGGTTGGGGAAAGGGCTGTGTGGAGCAGCCTAACCCATGAGAGCATGCTAGCTGGTGGATGACTCCTGAGCTTAACATCCCAGATACCATACTCTACCTTGTTTCTCTGGGAACACTGTCTCTGGGGTTGGGTGCTGATACCTAAGTAAGTCTTGAGAGCTGGCTGGTGACATTGTTATCTGTGCTTTTTAGTGCTCCTTGTCTGTTTTTCCCATTTCCTTCTAGAATTGTCAGTGTCTAGTCTAGGTGCAGTTTGACATTGATAGCAGTTAGAATTTGACTGTTTATATGGATTAAAAGAGACGCAGTCAGTAAGACATGTTTGACAGTAATGAAATAAACAAGACCAAAAAAATGGTTGCTATAAAGCAAAACTGGTAAGATTAAGACTGTATCATTATGAAGAGAGATAACAAAGTTAAGTAACCCACATTTTGAAGCAATTTGCCATCATAATGAATTTATGGACTAAGATGTGACCTAATGGTGAAGTCATCCATACTATATTAATACTTGAGTTTTAGGTTTCTCCTTGTAGCCCATAATATCACTGATCATTTTCATTTATTCCCCAGCATCCTCCTGGTATCATGAAGGAAAGGATGCTATCTTCCTGTTCTGCATTGAACAGTAAGCCACTGCTACAAAAGCCATAGATACTTAGAGTGGATATGAAAGTAGATCTGTTGCCAAATATGGTTTTCTTTCTAATAAGTCAGAGGTAGAACCTGAGACAGCAACCTCTGGGAAGCGCTTATAGCCAGGCTGCTAGCTACATGAGTGATGTGGGTTTTGCACTATGTAAACTGGGGGGCTGGGGACAAGGCATTCCCACCTGTCTGTCTGTCTCCTTCTGTGGTCCTCTATTCTTCACTGAGGGCTGCTTATGTGTGTGGGGCCTTATTCCAGCCTGTGAGAGGAAGACATTGGTAGGGCTTTTGCTGCTTTCAGGTGTACACACACACACACACACACACACACACACACACACACACACACGCATATGTATTTTGTTGTGAACCTAAAACTGCTCTGAAATATAGGACATGTCTTAAAATGTGGACACCATGCAGTCATTACTAGCACATACTGTAGAAGGGATAGCCAACGTGGTTTGAGGCACCGAGCTGAGAAGTCTTGTATTTGTCGTAGAATTTATGCCTAGAGACATACACCTAGATGCAGCATCCATCTCCACAGCCATGAATCTGGGTGTCTAGAGCCCTCTGGTGTTTTGTGTCACTGTGTATGTATAGAACATTTGCTTATCAGTGAACTTTGGAGTTGTGTGGAGGTGCCGGCCCTACTGAATTGGCCTCATAAGAAAGGGAACTACATTTTAAAGCCTCTTTTGGGGGATAATTCTTAGCAGCTTCCATTTATTTCTAGTAGCCCTGCAGTTTCTAAATAAGCACTGGATAAAACAGGAATTGAATTTGTAAGTGGTGGATTTGCCAAGCAGCTGAGAGCTCTTTTCTCTTTATAGCCAGCAGGTGGCCTCAGCCATATGTAGGAAAACATTTCTCTAAGTGTGCTATTAATATTTTCCTTTACTTTTTCAGTTATTTTCCCAGCTTCCCACTTACATAGTAAATTATTGATGTCTTCCAGAAAACCCCTTATGTCTACTATTGTCAAGAGTGCCTTCTCCCAAGAGTTGTATATATCTTAGCCTGTAGTAAGCTATCCTTTCTTAGGTACATCTAAAATCTTCACATAGGAATCACAAATTTTCCTTGAAGTTCTTAATTGGTGTTTACCTGCCACATGTACAGTTTAAAATATCTGATAATAATATAATTCTTATAATAAAACATCAGTTCCCCACTTCTAGTAGTTCATTCCTCCTCATCCTCCTAAAACTCTCCCTTTTAATGAGTTTTTCTCTGTCCTGCCAGCTAGATCCCAAATAATAACATAGAGACTTACTAATTATGAAATCCCGGCCTATATAGCTTAGGCTTACTTTTTACTAGCTCTTATAACTTAAATAAACCCATTTCTATTAATCTCTGTATGACCCTGTGGCTTTTGCTTTTCTTTCATTCTGTATGTCTGACTCCCTCCATGTCTCACTGGTGTTTCCTCTGTGCCTAGATGATCTCCTCCTACTTCCTCTCTCTGCCCAGAAGTCCCACCTATACCTCCTGCCTAGCCATTGGCCATTCAGCTCTTTATTACACCAATCACAGCCATGTAAATATCCCACAACGCTCCCCACCTCCCATAACAGTTCCTTTTCACTCTTTCACCTCCTGTTTCTGCTAATTTCCAGATATGGTTCTTATTTTCTTTTTATACAAATTTGTTGGCAATATCCTTGAGTATACAGTCAAAGGTTTGTTTGTTTTCTTTTATTGCCACTGTTCTAAGACAGGGTCTTATAAGGTCTCACTAAGCTGACTTGATCTAGTTTTTTAGTCAAAGTTGTCCTCAAATTCACCATCCTCCTGCCTCAGCTTCCCAAGTGTGTGCAACTTGCTGAGTTTTTTAGGTTTTTCTCTATCTGTCCATTTGTTTGTTCTTTGGAGACACATTCCAGGCTGGTCTTAACTCCTTATGTGGCCAGGAATGACCTGGACCTTGATCCTCTTGTCTCTACCTCCCAGTTGCTGGGATTACAGGCTGTGTGAACCACACTTAGCTTCTCTGGTGCTGGGGATCAAACCTAGGGCATTGTGAAGACTAGGCAAGCAATGCAGCCACTGAACTCTATAGTCCCAGACCACCACCACCACCATCGTCACCATCATCATCATCATGTAACCCACTATTTTTTCCATTTTTTTATTTAAATTAGAAACAAGATTGCTTTACATGTCAATCTCAGTTCCCTCTCCCTCCTCTCCTCCCCTGCCCCCCCCCTACTAATTTCCTATCCCAACCCCTTTCTGCTCCCCAGGGAGGGTGAGGCTTTCCATGGGTGATCTACAAAGTCATTTGGAGCAGGGCCTAGACCCTCCCCCATATGTCTAGGCTGAGGTAGTATCCCTCTATGTGGAATGGGCTCCCCAAATCCATTCATATGCTAGGGAAAAATACTGATCCACTACTAGAGGTCCCATAGATTTCTGAGGCCTCCTCACTGACACCCATGTTCAGGGAGTCTGGATCAGTCCTATGCTGGTTTCCCAGCTATCAGTCTGGGGTCCATGAGCTCCCCCTTGTTCAGGTCAGCTATTTCTGTGTGTCTCTCCAGCCTGATGTTGACCCCTTTGCTCATCACTCCTCCCTCTCTGCAACTGGATTCCAGTTCAGTTCAGTGTTTAGCTGTGGGTATCTGCTTCTACTTCCACCAGCTGCTGGATGAAGGCTCTAGGATGGCATATAAGGTAGTCATCAATTTCATTATCAGGAAGGGCCTCTCCACTATTGCTTAGATTGTTAGTTGGTGTCATCCTTATAGATCTCTGGACATTTCAATAGTGTCAGATTTCTCTTTAAACCTATAATGGCTCCCTGAATTATGGTGTCTCTTATCTTGCTCTCTTCTATTCTTCCCCCAAGTCAACCTTCCTGCTCCCTCATGTCCTCCTCTCCCCTCCTCATCTCCCCTTCTCATTCTCCTAGCTCCCTCTGCCCTCCCCTCATGCTCCCAATTTGCTCAGGAGATCTTGTCCCTTTCCCCTTCTCTGGGGGACCATGTATGTCTCTCTTAGGGTCCTCCTTGTCTCCTAACTTCTCTGGAGCTGTGGATTATATGCTAGTAATCCTTTGCTCTATGTCTAAAATCCATATATGAGTGAGTACATACCATATTTGTCTTTCTGTGACTGGGTAACCCATTATTTTAAAGTTTGAACAAAATCATATTAGCGTTTAAGCATTATAGTTAGTTAGACTCACCTACTTTCCAGCTGCTGAAGTATTTTCTAGTATTCCTTTCATTCTAAGGAAGCATCCTTGGGTTTTGAATTAGAAGTGTGAAAAAAGCCATGCAGTGTATAATTTCTGACTGTAAAAGCTGTCATTCTTTTCAAACTTCCAAGTCTTCGCCTCTGTTGTCTCCATTAAGGAAGAGGAAAAAGTGAAAGGGGTGGTCTTTTTTTCCTTCCCAACATAAAAATCCTGGTACATTTCCACTTAACAGTTTTTCTTAATTTCTTTTTCTCTCATCTTGTACCTTACTGTAGATGAAGATCTGATAAAGTATGGCTGGCCTGAAGATATTTGGTAAGTAGCAATTGCTAGTTTATCATTTAGATTTTTAGACTTGGCCCTCTACCTGCCTTCTATAATTAAAACTACACTTCCTACATGTTTTTGTTTATGGTGCTCATGAGTAAATAGCTGCAGTTCCTTTCAGTGTTTCACCCCTATGACCCAAGAGAAAGTGCAGGCTCCTAACACCTTCTTGGCCACTTTTCTTTTCCGTGTATATTTTCCACTGCTTACTCTGACCATCATATTCTCCTGGAACCTAGTCTTACCATCTGAGTGGAGTATCATTCTCCCTGGGGATACGTTTTCAGGTCCTGTTTACTTGGGTATGATGGCAATAGTGCACATTTTTCAAGCACTGAACTCTGCCAGACATTATCAAGCGTCAATACATTTAATTTCTCAACAACCTATGAAGTATTGTTGTAGTGCCCATTTTTTAGATGAGGAACAGAACAGGTCTGCACTGGTTATTATTGGTCCAACCTGGGCTCTCACAGGCCCAGCTCAGCTTCTATATCATTGACTCTCCATTTCATAAGGGCACCATTCTTCAGGCTTCAGTTTACTGCCCCAGTCCCCCACCCCTCAGGCTCATTGCTGCAATTCTCCAGATCTCTTTTCTCCAGCTATGGGCTGGAGAATTCCCCTTATTTCCCTAGAGCACTATGAGATTAGATGGCCACTTTTCATAAGAGCTGGTTCAGTTTTCAGTGAGGTGTGCAGCATTGAGCACTTAACAGGGAAGTATTGTACAGAGAGTAACTCAAGCCCCACTTGCTCCCACTTACCTGCTGCTCTGCTCGGAAGCCCTCTCAAATCTAGAGGGCTCCACAAAGGGCCTCTTGGACTTCTACCTACTTGGTTCTGAAGGACTCTAGTTCATGGCCCCAGTGGGCCTGTTTTTCTATCATTCCAAGTCTATACTGAGAAGCAGGAGGCAGCAGAAACATGAAGAATTTTAAAGGCTTAAGAACACAAAAACTGTTTCAGCCCAGTGTCCTAGCATCTGAGCTCAAATGTGCCACCAGGTTAGACCCAGCTTAAGGCCCATTTGCTTAGGTGGGCAGGATATACTGCTTGGAATTTCTGAATTTCTCACCTTCCTTCAGAAGGCCCTATGTCTTCAGTAGGACAGCTGTTGACCTGCTTTGTGAACTACCAAGGTTATCAGTGGTGGCACGTAACAAGAGTTTGATACTATTGACTTCCCACTTGGCTCACTTGCTGCTGTCCCAGAAACACACCCACCGAGCACTTCCTTGCCGTGACTGGTTCCTGTTGTCTCCCAGTGTCTGTCATCCCCAGCTGAAGTAGTTCCCAAAGATACCAGACTCTCTAATGCCAGTGTCTATACCTGTTAAGCAGTTACCTGCTATACTTTTTTCCCCATTTGTTTTTTTTTTTTTGTTGTTGTTGTTGTTGTTTTTTAGGTAGAGTTTGATTCTTTCAGGCTTTCCTGGTACCAACTGTGTAACCAGGCTGCCTTTGAGAACACAGAGGTTTCTTTTCTCAGTCTTCCAAGTGCAGTTGCCATGTTCATCTATGCTGTATTAGCATGCAGATTGGAGGATAGCTGCCTGTATAGGAAAGGTTACATAGTTAGATACACCTAGAAAGTCAGTTTACCATAATTTTTAAACTTTTTAAAATTAAACAGGTAGGAAACCAAGTTTCTAATTTAAAGCCCACACTAGTCAATTGTGGCTTAATTTTTTTTTAAGATTGAGACTCACCAGGCTTATATCTTCAGGTACTGAGAGGTCCCTTTAGCACCTAAAGTAGTCTAGATATTAATGCCCAAAGTTCGGCACAGTGCTTTTATTTTGAGAAGTTACTTGAGAACTCAGGGGAGCTGGAGCAGCCCCAAACCTTAGTTCCAGTTCCTGTGTTGTCAGCCCTGACAATCTTCCAGGGATTGACCTGGTGGACAAAAGAGCAACCCTGAGCTCATCTGCATTCTGGTGTTAACCTGGTATTCCCTGACGTTGCCTAGGGGCATTAACTGTGGCAGCTTTGGAGTCTTGTAAACCTTCTGAGGTTCCTTTAAGCAAAGACTTCTCTAGGAATTAAATGAAATTGGAAATAAATTAGTTTTATAAGTGAGAAAAAGAGAAAAAGAGAAATTAGACTGCCTAATGAGTAGAATTTTACAGACCTCACTTTAAGGAGCTGAACCGTTCCCTGTGCCTCTGCACCCTCAGTTAATTGCTCTTTTAGTGAAAATTCTAGTCTCTGAGTTAGTTAAGTGTGTCAAGATGAGCAGGGATGGGATCACAAGAAGGACAAGAGGCTAAGAGTGGGCGTAGTTTAAAGTTCAAGTGAGCATTTTTAGGAATACTGGAAAGTTTGCTCTGAATTGTTTCAGGGGTTGGTATTTCAAACCCTGTCTTTCTGTCGGTCTCTCTACCTTTTGTAGCTATGTACTAGTATATGTAAGCCTGAAGTTGGTATATACTAGCTGAGAAGAGACACTGTGACCACAGTAACTGTTAAAAAAAGAAAGCACTTTGTTGGGGCCTTACAGTTTCAGAGGCCTGGTCTGTTATCATGGTGGAGAGTATGGTAGCACACTGGAGCAGTAGCTGAGAGCTACATCCTGATCTGCAGGCATCAGGCAGAGATAAGAGACTGGACCTGGCATGAGCATTTGAAATCTCAAAACCCACCCCTATTGACATACTGACCACACTTCCTAATCCTTTCAAAGAGCTCCACTCCCTGGTGACTAAGGTCTCAAATATATGACCCCATGGGTGCCATTCTTATTCAAACCACCATCCTAGCCATGATACTCCTATGCGTGCTTTGACGACCTAGGTATGAGCTCATTAGCATATATTGAATTATTTTGGTATTTCTATTGACAGGATTCCATATAAGAGACCTTGAAGAAAAAGCAGAATCTAATGTAGCTACTATTGCTAGTAGGAAGGGCTGTTACTAGTAAAGAGCTGTCACTAAACGAGCAGAAGCCAGCATGGCAGGTGTTCCTTCTCAATTCAGGTCAGTTCACAGCATAATATTTTTTTCTTAAGATTCTGAAAGGAGAAAGAGATATTCAAAATTTCTAGATTTATAAAAGATACAGAATTTTCTGGGCAGCTAAAGGTGATAATTGGTGTGAATTTTTCATGAGAATACAAATGAGTAAATGAACAGTTTGGAAAAACATGAATTAAATATGATGTAATGTCCATTTCTGGCTAAGAATAAGAAGCAACACAGGTCATTTGCCCAAAGTCTAAATATTGTTCTGTATCCAGCACAAATAACAAAGTATTTAGCTTCTTTGAGGGTATTACAAACAGCATAATCTTAGCCTTCATACTGAGTCATACTTGTCTATATCCTACACAGAGTGTGAATGTATGACCCTTTTAACAACTAGAATAGATGTCAATAACAAGAAAATGCCTGGGGAGGTCTGTAATGAGATGCAGTGATACCTCCTTAGGTTTTTGTTTCTTCGTTTTTGAAACAGTTTTACTAAGTAGTCCAGGCTGACTCTAACCTTGTGACACTCCTGCCTGCTGGGATTATAGGCCTTTGCCACTATACTCAGCTTCCATAGGCTTCCATAGACCTTGTTAGGAACAGTACTAACTGAAGTTAACAGAGTCACAGTGTGACTTCCTACACAGTTATGTGTAGGAAGGGCTGTTACTAATAAAACGTTGTCACTAAACAAGCAGAAGTCAGAATGGCAGGTGCTCCTTCTCTGTTGAGATCAGTTCATAGTGTGGTTGTTCATTGTTTAATGCTTACATTCTAGGCCCATCTCTGCATGTTGCAAAGTGAGTCAGCTTCATTTGGCAAATCATATGCATGAAAAAATGTCACATCAACTTTAAAAGATTGCATTAAATTGATGGATGTTAATAACCCTGTCTTAGTTAGGGTTACTGTTGCTGTGATAAAATTCCATGACCAAAAGCAACTTGGGCAGGTTTATTTCACTCATCGTTCCATGTAACATTCATCATCAAAAGCAGTGAGGACAGGAACTCATACAGTACAGGAACCTGGAGGCAGGAGCTGATGCAGAGGCCATGGAGCAATGCTGCTTACTGGCTTGTTTCCCAAGATGCTCAGCCTGCTTTCTTATACAACCCAAGGCTACTAGCCCAGGGGTAGCCTCACCCACAAGGGACTAGGTAACTCAAGCGCCCACTTAACATGTGGCTCTGTTGGGAAGCCCTCACCTGTCTTCCCCCCATCAGTCACTAATTAAGAAAACACTCTACAGGCTTGCCTACAGCCCCATCTTAGGGTAAAATTTTCTCAATTGAGGTTCCCTCCTCTGATGACTCTAGCTTGTGTCAAGGTGACATAAAACTAGCCAGTACAAATCCTAAAGAAAAGTGAATTTAAGATGCTGTGGAAGACTGTCCCACCTTATTCCCAGCACTTGGGAGGCAGAGGCAGGAGGATCTCTATTAGTAAAATGCTAGTCCAGTCTATATAGCAAGTACCAGTCCAGCCAGGGCTCCCTAGTGAGACCCTACGTAGTGATATAGCAGCAAGATGCCATGTGCCCTGATAACACAGCACCACAGTTTTTTTCTTATCTATCTTTATCCATGCTGTGGGGCATTCTGAGTGATTTTAGGACAGTGCCATGTAGACCATATTCACCAGGGATGCATGTTGATGCCATTATCTGTGAGTGTGGGTGGGTAGGGGGATTGGAAGAATTCTTAGTCTGATCCATGTAATAATGTAGTCTGCTTAGTGAGCTGACTTTTCTAAATCTGAACTTGGTCCTTGGTTTTGATTGTTTGGCTATCATTAGAAAATTAGGGGTATCAGAAACCATAATCTCCTCTTCTCCAGACTGCAGTCCTGCAAAGCTCCCAGGTCAGCAACAGTTAAGTTTAACTGACTTCTTCCATCCTTTCTCATTGAAAATTTTTCCCTGTTTTTCTTCTTGGCCTGTGCTTTTGTCAGGGGCAGCCAACTCTCAATTCTTCCATGAAGCCTTTAGTCACTAATAGCTCTTTTTATCACTTGAAGCTTCACTCTTCCCAGGATGCTTTCATATTTATTATCTGACTCGTGTTGGCCCGTAGCCATGCACAGCTGCATAGCTCCCAAGTTCCTCTTGCCTCTCCGGGTTGCTGGCCAGCCCTTTGGAGATGGTGACTATTTTGTAATAAGTCCCGGGGAATACTTTCTTGGAATGAGATGCTTTTGATGCAAGTGGCTCAGGACATGGCTGTCTTGCTCTTGCTAAAAGTTGTTTCCTCCTTTGTAGGTTTCACGTGGACAAACTCTCTTCAGCTCATGTATACCTTCGATTACAAAAGGTAACTGAATGTAAACATGAATTTGTGACTTTTCTTTGGATGAACACCATATTTTTGTGTGTGTGATTAAGTTACTTAAGTTATAAATATGTTCAAAGTTGTAAAGATTAGTAAATGTCTTCTTCCTGCCCAGAAAACTGTTATAGAAACTTCTGAATGATTGGTTTCCCAGGTGGAAGCCCTGCCTTGTCCAGCCTGTTCAGTATATGTCCTCTGTGCTCTTTGCTTCCCCTCCCATTCAGGTTAGTTGGTGCTGGTATAATATTTCTGGTGGCTTCTTTTTCTTGGGCTCACACAGCCTACCTGGCTTGCTGAGGGTACCTGTTCCCAGTTTTGGTTTTTTGAGACAGGGTTTCTCTGTGGCTTTGAAGGCTGTCCTAGAACTACCTCTTATAGACCAGGCTGGTCTCTCGAACTCACAGAGATCTGCCTGCCTCTGCCTCCCAAGTGCTGGGATTAAAGGCGTGTGCCACCACTGCCTGACTGTCTTTGGACAGTCTTAAACCCGCATGGTTGTAACATGGGGCAAAGATGCCATGTGCCCTGATAACACAGCACCACAATTTTTTCTAATCTGCCTTTATCCCTGTATTTTCACTAATTAAACTACATGGTATGTGTGTTCATTGTATGAATTACCTTTTAAAAAATAGATGTATTTAGGGCTTACAAGATTTTGGACTTCTAAGAAAGTTACAAAGGGTATATGGCTTCCCTGTTGCCAGCATCTCATATCACATGGTGGATTCTCAAAACCATCAGGCCAGCCCCATTTACTGCTCTTAACTAAATTCTGAACTTTATTTGAACAGTTTCTCCATCAATGCCCCTTTTCTCTTCCAGAATCCATTGTAAGGTACCACAGTGCACTCACTTGTCCCCTCTGCCCTGATTTCCATGCTAGTATTTTTCCCTTGTTTTTTGTGACCTTGTCAGTACAGCCAGTGATCTTATAGAATGTCACTTTAGTTGTATGTGTCTTATTTTTCTCATGATTAGCTAGAGGTTACAGACTTGAGAGGAAGAAAAGCACAGAGGGGAGGAGCCTCTTACTCATCATGTCAGACAGTACATGCCTTAACATAACTTAACACTGATGTCATGAGTCTGAACTGCCTGGCCAGGGCTGTGCCTGCCAGCTTTCTCCACCATGGCACTGCCTTTCCGGACTTGGTAACTACAAATCAAGTTGGGGTCCAGCTTCCACTCAGGCAGGGGCAGAGTGAAGTTCTGCTTTTTTGGGTAGGGCCCATTTCATTATTTAGGGTTCATGCAGAAAGGAACTTGTTTCTTTCTCCTTTATTTGTATCAGCAAGGGAGTTGTATTTATTATATGCCTTGGGCCCTTGTGTATATTTGGGTGCTGTGTTCTGTTGCTCATATTGTATTCAGCTCTAGTGAGATGAGATGCCTTTCAGCTTGCCTCTGGGCTCCACTGACATGCACCCAACCTCTTATTCATTTATTTTAATTTAAATTTTATTCATGCTTTTTTTTTTTTAATTTTGGTTTTGTTTTTATTTTGAAACAACCATGTTATGTAGCCCAGGCTGGCCTCAAACTCAGAGATCTGCCTGTCTTTGCCTCCTGAGTGATAGATTCAAAGGCATGTGCCATCACACTTTGCCAAAATGTTTTTTTTAATTAAGTCTTGTTGTATAGTCCTGGCAGGTCAGGAACTTCCTAGGTAGAGCAGGCTAGCCTTGAACTTGCGGTCCCCTTTCTGAATGCTGGGATTATAAGCATACATGACTGTAATTTATAACATTCAATAGTTTCTTGAACCTGAGCTGCAGTATCTGTCAGTGTTCCTTGTTCTCAAGTTGTATGACAGCATGCATGTGTTGTGTGTTCAGAATGGAGATTACAGTGAAGTCACTGGGCGACATGGGAAGTGATACCAGAAGTGTTTGGTTATGAATTAATTTGAGGCCATTGTATGTTTCAGAAGCCTTCTACAGTTGCCCGACTGTGAGATTGCAGCTCATGCTTTAAGAACCTGGGGACTAAGGCCAGTGATGTAATATGATTTGGACCTTCTTCCTTGTGGTTTCCATTCAAAACTTCGTTACTGAAAGTTCAATTTAAGCTGTCCATTGCCATTCTTTCTGTACATTTGTGACATAGACTCTTTGTCTTAGTCTATATCCATAGTATCCCTAGTTGATTGATTGCATTACTTCTTAAATTCATGATTTGTAAACTCGTTAGTATGTTGTTTTCTTTTTAGTTATTTTGACTGGCTGTAGTGAGCTGATAATAGTGGCACAGTTAATAGGAAAGCTACTTCGTCGGAATTTAGATTGTGTACAACTTTTCAGCATTATAAACATCATTAAGCGGGGTGTGGTGGTGCACTCCTTTAATCCCAGCACTTGGGAGTCAGAGGTAGGTGGATCTCTTGAGTTCAAGGCCAGCCTGGTCTACAGAGCTAGTTCCAGGACAGTCGGGGCTATTACACATAGAAACCCTGTCTCAGGGGTGGGAGTGGGGGGAGTGCATCTTAATTTGTTTTTAGAGTCTCACTGTGTTGATCATGCTGAACTTGAACACCTGGGCTCAAAAGAACTTCCTGTCTCAGCTTTCTGAGATGGCATTGTAGACAGGCATGCATCACCAACACCTCACTTGGGCCTTTTCTTTTGAGTCAGGGTCTCAGTATGTGACTGGTCTGAAACTTGCTATATAGAGCACCCTGGAATACTGGCTCTGCAGCACTCAACAAGTGGTAGCTACTGAATGATTGATTTTAGCCATCTTGATTGATTTAGTGTAGGGTTGTCACCTCTTACTAGTTTTGCCACTACCACTCAATGTAGCTTTGTGTAATGGCTGTTGTTCTTGATGACAGCACTGTTACAGAGGTATAAATTCAGAGCCCTCTCTTCAGATGGTCTGAGAAATACACAGAATGGGATGCCTTCAAGTTCTTGTGTACGTAATTTTTAATGTAGCTGAGAATGTAATTTAGTGGTAGAGTACTTGACTAGCATATCATATAGAAGGAAGGCCCTGGGTTCACCTCTCAGGTAACACACACACACACACACACACACACTTGAAAATTTGAAACACAGTAATGAGATAAAGTTATTCCAGCATTGAGTTCTGTGTAGCATTTGTCCTCTGACTGACATTTTTGTAATCCTATGCCTTATAGAATCTGATTCTTAACTAATTTTCCCTACTCATGCCTCTGGAATGTCTTTGTACTTTGGAAATTACTTACTCAGATGTTTGATTGATAACAATTTCTGTGGAGAAAGTGGCATCTTTGTCCTTTCTCCCTCCTGGTGGTAAATAATGGGGACCCAACATAAGAACTTGTACTGATTTTGGCTGGGGCGTGGGGGAGGGGTAGATGATCTGTGAGATGTTTGGGATCCAGAACTCCAAGGCATCTCTTTCAAAGGAAGGGACCTCAGCCAGGGAGACTTCTAGATGTCGGCTCCATTTCCTTACATGTTTTCCAGAAAAGAATGAGAACAAAAACTACTGAGACATAACTGCAGTTAATATCTTCACCATGGTTTTTAAAATGTGTTAAGTATGTTTTTTTGTGTGTTAGTGCCTTCTCTTAGTTCAGGTAGCATCCTATAGTGGGCATGGTAAATTTACTTCATCTTTCAATGTCTGGTGTGAGTGCTCCAGTGACCATCAGTAACTAAAGAGGATCGTGTGGCTTATTTTATCTTGCAGGGAGAGAAGATAGAAGACATTCCAAAGGAGGTTCTGATGGACTGTGCCCACCTTGTGAAGGCCAATAGCATTCAAGGTCAGTTTTCCCAGAATTATTTTCTGAGTCAGCATTCACTTTTTCTGTCTGGAATAAAGTCCATTTAGCAAGCATGCTGTTGACTTTGGCATGTGTCTGAGGACAACAGAAGATAAATTTGAGGAGAGGGCAGTTTTGCTGCTTGTCAGGGAACTAAAAGCTCACTGCCCACTCCTCTAAATTTCACTGTCCTTTCTGAGTCTTGGTCCTTGTGACTCTTTCCCTTTCCTTGAATAAGAGGTCATTGAGCTCTGTTTAAGACTTCCAGCAACGTGGCATGTTGATAACTAAGGAGATGTGTCTCATGGCTTTGTGTTCATGTTGGTGTCAGCTACCATCATTTGTCATCAGATTTTCTTTTTTCCTTTTTCTTTTTGGGTTTTCAAGACAGGATTTCTCTGGGTAGCTTTGGAGCCTATCCTAGCACTCACTCTGTAGACCAGGCTGGACTCGAACTCACAGAAATCCGCCTGTCTCTACCTCCTGAGTGCTGGGATTAAAGGTGTGCGCCACCAACGCTTGACCTGTCATCAGATTTTAAAACTAGAGGGGTTTGTTTTGGTTTTCTTTTTAATTTTTTAAATATAATTTTGTGTATGGTATTTTGTTTGCATGAATGTCTCTGTGCTTTATGAATGTCTGGTGCCCTTGGAGCCCAGAAGAAACGGGGGTTATAGACAATTGTGAGCCACCATGTTGGTGTTGGGAATTGAACCCAGGTCCTCTGGAAGAGCATCCATTGTTCCTAACTACTAGGCTGTCTCTCCAGCTCCTTGTTTGTGTATTTTGAACCAGAATCTTGCTGTGTAGCCCAAGCTAGTGTGGAACTCACTGTGTAGCTCAGACTGGCCTCAAATTCATAATTTTCCTATTTCAGCTTCCTGGGTACTAGAAGTAGTATAGGTGTGTGTGACTACACCAGGCTTAGAGCTAGAGACTTTAATCATGCCTTTTCTTTTCCCCTTCTCTTCCATGCTTTATCCTTCCTTTAAGTTGTGAAGGTTTCGAGTCCTTTGACTCTGTTGTCTTTACCCACAGAATCTTACTTAGCTGATCTGGGTGATCCTTGAGTGTTGTTAATCTTTCAGAAGCTCTCTGGGTGAGCCAGTGTGCAGTGTGGGTTGGGAACAATCGCCCTCTGTGTTTTAGGCAGTAGTTACAATACTGGGCTTGGTGCCTGCTTAATTCTACGAAATAAGATTTAATCTGAACGAAAGGTCTAGGATGATAATTAGGATGAGGATAGCAGTTATGAAGGGGGTTGAGAGGTATTGGCTAAATGATTGAGCTAGTTAATAGGTGAGATTGTAGGGTAGGATGGAGGCCTGGATAGAGATAACTGGCTATAGATGAAGTTGGAAGATGATCCAGAGCAAACACAGCTGATAACAGGCATTGGGGTTCCATGATTACATGATGAGAGCTTGGCAGCCTTCTTTCATGTAGACTGGTGTCTTCAGTCTCAACTCAGGCAGCCTTAATAACAAACTACAAGTGTATACAAAGAAGCTTAAAATTTGCCTTTTGGAGCCACCAGTTGTCAACTCCATAAGTCAACAGGTTGTTATAAGTGAGAACATTCTGTTTTATGCATAGAATAGAACGTCTTAGATCTTCAGTTACTGAAGTAAATACTGAAACAAGCAAACTGTTTATTCTGTGTCCCAATCTCTTCTGCACAGCCATGTTCTTTTTTCTGTGCCCTGACTCAAAAATGAGCCTTGTTTCAAAGAGCTGTCGACTCCTTATTCTCGGCTCAGTTTCTTTCTTTTTAACGTCCTTATAGTTTACAAGTTCTAGAGTAAACATAGGGGTGAAGAATTGTGATACAGGAATTACTCCCCTTTCTTCCTCAGCCTTGCACAGTGATGGCTCACATAGCAGAATATGAAGCTGAGCCCCAGGTTCCTCTCTAATCAGTACCAGAGGGTGCTGCTGAGGACTGATGAGCACTGGGAGACTGCAGAGGACACACACTGGCGGCTCTGTACTTGCCAAGTTCTGTCCTGCTCTACACTAAGGGAACAGGGATTAAGCTTGCTGGTTTCTGCTAAATTGGCCCACTTTAGGTCAGAATCATAGGTTTTGTTTAGGTTAGGGCAAAGGGCTCCACTAATAACCAATAACCTTCCTAAATGTGTTGGTTTCCTTAATGTCAGATGGGGTCTGAGAGTGATAGGCACCTGTCAGCTCATGCAGCTGGTTAGGTATTGCCAAGCTGGTTCTCTGTGTCTTACTCTATATCTTACTGTGGCTGTATCTTATTGGTTAGCCATTATCACCTCAAAGATTGCTTTAAGGGTCTCAGGAAACTCAGTTGGTCCTTTTCTCTTGAAAACTATGCACATGATAATTTTGAGTTCAATTTTAGTGAGTTCTTGGAAGTCTCTGATGTTAGTCCCTGGACCCTTGCTTTTTCCACTGTAACACTTTGACTTAATGTTTGATTTTCCACTTGCCTTTGGTGCTTTGGAACAACAGAGGTGTGCTCTTCTCAAGCCTTGTCTGGGGTGGGTGATGTTTTGATGTGGGTGAGAGCTGTGCCACTCAGTGTCACATTTTCTGCCTGTTGAAGATGGTCTCTCTTGGCAGGATGCAAGATGAACAACATTAATGTGGTGTATACGCCATGGTCTAACCTGAAGAAGACAGCTGACATGGATGTGGGGCAGATAGGCTTTCACAGGCAGAAGGATGTAAGTGTTATGGACCACAGGAGGCGGGGCCTGACTCCAAGCTGAGTGTGATGTTCCTAAGGGTGTCAAACTGGGCAACTAATGCCCTGGAAAGCCAAAGCTTTGCCCCTCTTAGGTAAGAGAAAAATAATTAAGGCTAAGTGCTTTTCCCCTTACCTCCCTCAAAGGTAAAAATTGTGACCGTGGAGAAGAAAGTGAATGAAATCTTGAACCGATTAGAAAAGACCAAATTGGAGAAGTTTCCTGACCTAGCAGCAGAGAAAGAAAGCCGAGACCGAGAAGAGAGGAATGAGAAAAAAGCCCAGATTCAGGAAATGAAAAGGAGAGAGAAAGAAGAAATGAAGAAGAAACGGGAAATGGATGAACTTAGGTACGATTGGGCTGTAGCCTTGGATATCCTCGAAGGCCTAGCTCACAGATTTTCCAGGAAGGCACATAAAAGCTCAGAATGTTAAGAGGTGGTGGTGTTGATGGGTAAATTGCCTTTTTAAAGAGGTGTTGGGTGTGAGTGAGTGAGTGAAATTAAAGGTTTGGTTTTACGTCCCCATTGTAAGCCATTGTGAACTTCCTCAGAATCTGGATTGTTCCTGGGAAAGGAAACAGTAAAGGAGTGTGTAGTCTTGAGCAGCTGTGCTGTTTGGACAAAGATACTCAGAGCTGCTTTTAAATGCTTCCTCTGCCTTTTGAAAGTTGGACATAGTTAATGTGGTGGGTCCTGCTTCGGTGTCCTACAGTTTTAAACAGCTGTTAAAGGAGTTTGGCTCCTGAACTCCTGAATGCTGACTGTATTAGTTTTCTATTGCTTCTATAACAAATTGCCCCAAATTTAACTCCTCGAAGCCATGTACAGACCTAAGAAATTCTGACTAATCAAAACAAGAAGTTGGCAGGGCAATTCCCTTCTGGAGGCCCTAGAGGAGACTCCAGTTTCTAGAGGTTGCCCACAATCTGTGGCTTGTTGCTCCTTCTTGTGCCTTCTCTACTTTCTTCAGCCATAATCCCGTCGTCCCAGGAATCTCCCTGTCACTTAGAACTGTCACATCTGTAAAGTGTGTTCCAGTGTAGTGTGTTTCTAGTGCAGTTTCTCAACCCTCCTAATGCTGTGACCCTTCAACACAGTTCATCACGTTGTGGTGACCCCCAACCATAAAGTTATTTCCCTGGTACTTCACAACTGTAATGAATCATAATGTAAGTAAGATACTTGATATGTGACCCCCAAGGGGATCTCGGCCCACAGGTGTTGGGGGAGGGAGAGCTTTGGGAGCATCACTCACCTGCCACATTGAGTTTGTGTTACTGCACTCCAACAGGCCCCTTGTCCTATTTTTGTTTGAGTGGGTTGCTGGCTTTTGTGAGATAGCTAGTCTCAACCTGGTAAACCTGCATCTACCTCCTGAGTGCTGGAATTACAGCTGTGCCCCAGTACCCCCAACTGCCCTTGCTTTCTTTTCTTTTCATTTGTATTCCTCCTTTTCTTTATGGAGTGCTGGGCATTGAACAAGGGCCTCATGCACACTATCCAAATGCTCCATCTAGCACAGAGCTCTGTCTCTGAGGCCCCTCTTGTTTCCCTTAGCAGGAAGTTGCCCTCATAACTTGTAGCCATGGAATTCCTGGGTTTCTGCGGATGCTATTTGTGATTATGTGCACCAGAAAACATGTAAGAATGGTGTGGAGTGGCATCAAAATAAAAGCCAGCTATCTGGCTTGGCCCTGGCCCAGCTTCCTCTGCACACCCTGGGTTTTCAGGACCCTGCTGGGCAAGAGCATAGCTGCTATGATGGTGTATATTCAGGTGTGAGGCACCTACTTGTGTCCCTACCCAGGTTCTGCTGAAAGGAAGACTGGCTTTTTTTAGGGCTGAGCATTCAGTTGGAGGGCTCTGGGAATGTTGTCCTGCTCTGCTCCACTCTGCTCTCCTCCCTTCCCTTTCTCTTCCCTCCCCTCCCCTTCTTTCCCCTCTTCTTCCTCCTTTCCCCTCCTCTTCCCTCCTCTTTGAAGCAGGTGGTACATAGACTTGGATATTTGCTGTGGCCTGCAAATGAGAGCCTGCTGTGAGTTGTTAAAAGCAGCTCACTCTGGTAATGATTGTGAGAGTCTGGCAAGCAGGATTTACAGCCAATTCTTGTTTTTAGTTGGAGCAGGCGAAAATTAAAGAAGATATGCCCCTGTTTCCTTTGCATCTTTAACAATTTTGTTTAGAGACATGAATGTGTAATGTTAGAAGCACAAAGGCACTTCATTTGCATCTTTGCTAAGGAGGAATAGCTGACACTTTTACCATTTGCCATCTGCCCACACTGTACTTTAAAATGCTTCCGCATGTATGTCTTCACATAGCAGCAGATGTTTACTACCTGAATTTGTGAAAGAGCAGAATGGTCTGAACAACAAATAACTAGCTGAGCGTTATAGCAAAGTGTGTCTGTCTGATTGTTAAATCAACACACCACTACACTCTGCTGCTTTACACACTACTCATTCAGAATAAATAGAGTAACAGAGAGAGGCTATGCTTTACCTGGAAATGCATTTTTGGTTTTGAATTAAACTAATACTGTTAAAGTTAGGGGGTTTAGTATGGCATTATTAGTTTCAAAAGTTGCAAGCATTTAAATAAAGACCCCTATTAACAAAAACAGTTTTAGTATCTTCTAGGTTTGTTTTAAAAATATCTACATTAAAAATATTCATGGCACTGAGGGGAAAATTCTCCATCTTGCAGAGTGCACTCTGCTCCAGCCACTCACCCAGTGGTAATCATCCTTGTGAGCTTAAGTTGTATCATCCTTGTTACTCTTGAGTCATCCCTGTTACTCACATGCCATCCAAATGGAATTCCATCACAGGCTGCAGAAAGCAGACTATGAGGTGGGGCCACTGTGTCAGTGAGATGATAACCTGTTTGTAAAAGTCCAGCAACAGGCTTTATGCTTTCAACATTTTGTGGATTTGTTTTTGAGACTTTGAGACACAGGGTCTTGCAGTCAGCACAGACTGGCCTCCAAAGAAGCCTGGGATTTTTTCCACCCTGTAATCTATTTTAATACACTTATCATGCTAGCATCTTTTAAGTTCTGTCTTTGAATCTTCTAGCCAATAGATTGTTTTATTTTTTTGTTTGTATGTTTGTTTTATTTTGTTTTTCGAGACAGGGTTTCTCTGTCTTGGAACTTGCTCTGTAGACCAGGGCTGGCCTGGAACTCACAGAAATCCGCCTGCGGAGTGCAGGGATTAAAGGTGTGTGCCACCAGGCAACTCTGTGCTTCTTACCTGCTTTATTTTATTCTTGTGTTTTATTTGACTTTTTGAATTATCGTATCAAACACTTATGTACATGAATGAAGTTGAGTGTACCATATAGACCATGGCCAAAAGACAAAAGCAATGATCAGGGAAATGGAGTTGGGTAGGTATCGTATCAGAAGTTGAACTGTTATGACAAAGGAGCTGGGGGTGTTTGAAATTGGAGGCTACAAGTTAGAACTTCCAGTTCTGTGAGACTGAAGTTCAGGATGGAAGTACAGTGGGAAGTCACAGGCCAATGTGTCACCAGCTTAAAGACATAAACTTGGTTTCCAGGCAGAGCTGTCTTCAGCACAGAGTTTCACATGTGACTGGACAGCTGTAAGTGGTAGAGAGGAAACTGAGACCCACCTGTAATTCTGAATCCATTGCCTCTGATGAAAGGCCAGAGTCAGAGTCTTACATGAGCAAGTAAGCATAAAATGGTGCGTTTAGTGACTTGAAAAAATTCAGCATAGTTCCTAGGTCTCGTGGGAGTGTTTGTGGGGAAGTGAGCTTGTAGCAAGAGTAACATATAGAAGACATCAACACAAGACCTTGGTCAGAGGATGACCAGTCTCTAAGAGGGTACTACTTTTGTTTTTGTAGAGGAATGGTTTTGTGTTGGATACAGACCAAAGGTCTGGAAATACTTTTAGGCATCTAGAACAATTGGGTTAAAAGGAGGGAGCCCAGAGGAAATGTGGACATCAGAAAGGCACATTTATGTGCCACTTTCATCAGAGTGGGTGGTAGCCATCTGTGGTTTCAACAACTGGCTTTGTAAGCCTTCATCCAACATGGTAACCATCTTTGAGATGTTTGTTGACAAGATAACCTCATTTGGGTTTTAGGGTGGGAGCCATCCTTGCTTATTGAGAGATATCCTTACTTGAATATTGTCTTTCTTTCTAGGAGCTACTCGTCACTAATGAAAGTTGAGAACATGTCCTCAAATCAAGTATGTTCACATTTCTTGCTCAAATGTTGTACCTTGAAATACTTCACAGAGAGTCTTTAGTGATTGAGCTACTGACTATTGGAGCAGGTTGCCTATCGTGATGGGCATTGAGTATATTGTGGGTAGATTCTGGCAGGCAGGCATTGCCTTCCTTCCCTGTGGTCTTGTGTTTGCTTTTGTATGGGTCACTTCGTGGAAGGAAAGTTTGATGCCTCCTTGCCTGCTGTGAAGGACAGTCCTATTAATATTGTGTGGTGTGTCAGTCAGCTTTCTCTTATTCTGACACAATACCTGAGATAGTAAGCTTATGAAGAAAGAAGCTTTATTCTGACTCAGGATTTTGGAGGTTTGGGGCTGTGGCCAATTGCCCTGCTGCTTTGGGTCGTATATTAAAACAGGTGGGAAAACATGGGCCAGCAAGCTATTCTCCTATGGCAGCTGGGCAGCAAAGAGAAAAAGAGAAAGAGGAGAGTCCCAGTACCCTATGAAGGGCAAGCCTCCAGTTACCTGACTTCTTCACAGCAGACAGCCCTTCTTAAATGTTCTGCCTGAGAACAAGCCTCAGCACATGGCCTTTGGGGACTTTGCAGACCCAGACTGTGGCACAGCACTGCAGTACATTTCCTTTCTCCTTCCCTATTTCCAGGCTTTGAAATGTATTTGTATTTATTCATTTCCTCTACTAATGTTGCCCTAGATTTCACAGCATGGTTAAACAGAAGCAGAATTGCCCCTTTTAGTTAAAATTAAATGTGCCATATACAGAGATCATCTATTACAGCCTAAATACTAACCCTGATTTTTTTTTTTTCATACTTGTTAGAACCTGGAATAAGTGTTGACATGTTTTGGGGTTTTTTGTTTTTTTCTTTGAGATGGAGTTTTGCTTTGTTGTTCAAGCTGCCACGAAACTCCCCTTAACCAGTCCTGGTCTCAGACTCTTATTGCCTCTGCTTCCCGAGTGCTGGGATTACAAACAAGCATCATTATATTTGGCTCAGACCCTTTTATAACATGGTTTTAAAATGCATGCTTTAGGTCTGCATTTCAGATATGTTAGAGACGAAATGCAAATGCTGTTTAAATGAAAATTAAGTTAAAACTTGTCTTCTTTAGTCATACTAGCTTTGTGTGACCCAGTGGCTACTGTTATCAGCATAGATGAAGAACCTGCTATTACTACAGAAAATTCTGTTAAGTGTCTCAGTTTCCCAGTTAAGGTTATCTGTTCAAACTCCAAGTTATGTGCATGAATTGGAAGCAGGAGGATTTTAGACATCGTTTATATCCAATACCTGTCCAAGAATTTATAAGAACACATTTTACTCCTACCTTCTGTGAAGGACTAAATTTTTGAGTCTTCTTTATGAATCAAGATCCATCTTTATAAATTATTTCTGAAAAATTTCCTGATAGCACTGTGTAGTCCAACAGAACTGAGTTTGAAATCAAGAGATTTAAACAGTCACTAGGGTGAGACTATTGCATTTTTAGTCTTTCTAGAGGAATGTTTCTCAGTACAGAGACATTACCTCAAGAGGTCTTTGTAACCTGTAAACAAGGGTGTGTCGTGAAGGCCGGTGCTAGACTGTCGTGGCATAGGTCCTTACTGAACCCTGAGTTTGTTTAGCCCTCTGCATGTTATTCTTGGCTTTCTTAAAACTCACAACAGTTTAACCATAGCAGAAGTCTGTGATAGATTCCAAGTCCAATTCAGTTAAAACTAATGCCTCTGCCTCTGCTTTCCTGACTAGTACTTATTTAGCCTTTCTATTTAGAAGCTTTCTACCAGAAATCTAGCCTGTGTTTCAACCTTGTACATTCTTGTCACGGTGGATCTTAAAAGCTTACATGTTCAGGAGTTGGAAAAATGGACATGCATACACACACACACACACACACACACACACACACACACCATCATCATCATCATCATCATCATCATCATCATCATCATCAACTCTTAATATCTTTGAGGCATTGGTTCCAAGGCCCTAGGAATACTAAAATCTAAAATCTGTAGATGCTCAAAACCCTAATGAAATGGAAAAATATTTTTATATAATTTATATTTTATCTCCCCATGTGTTTTATTCTATTGTTATTGATACTAAATACAATGTAGATGCAAACACTTGTCACAATGTATTACTTAGGAAATAATGACCAAAAGGGGGTGGGGGATGGCTGTGCCCATGTTTGTGGCATTCCTAAGCGCTTTCTGTCTGCATTTGATTGGATCTGCAGGCATGGACTCCTGCAGATGCAGAGGACCAGTGGTGCACATGTATGCGGATACTGTCATGCTCACTGGTCCCCCTTCCCTTATACTCTCTTACTTACTACTGTGGGTGCTCAAATGGGAAAGCTTCAGTCTCCTTATAACATTTTGTGTTCTGTTACCATCTTGTCTTTGATTTGTATGGTGATCTCTTGGTCTTTATTCAAAGGCTAATGCTTATGTGAGCTAGGACCTTGCAAGCTCATCAGGAATAATGCTGGTCTCCATCTGAGCTAGATTTACATCTGATTTTTTAGTCTTCTATTTAGCATAACCTCTTTTATCTGTAATTTCTAGTCCTTTTTGGTTGGGCATAAATTGTTACTGTTACATTCCTCTTGAATATCAGTTTATCACTGGGTGGTGAGAATATTCACTTGTAAGCTGAATAACATAGGAACTGAGAAATCTGAAAGGTAATAGTTAACCAAGCAAAGTCCTGGCCTGTAGATGTATAGTTAAACATTCCTGTGATCCCAGCACACCTGTCCTCGGGCAGCAGGAACTCTGCACACACATCCAATACATAATCCTGGTAGGGACTGTGCACTTGCCTTGTTACCTGCCAGGTGGTCTTGTTGAGCTGCTTGTCCTCATTGGCTGGACAGGAAAGGCTGACATTTGAAGATGTATGCTGACTCTTCCCGACATCTCTGATGCTGCTCCTGAAGTTCGGGATTCTGAGGCCATCAGTTCTGGTCCCTGGACAAAGCACAAACAGACCAGCTGAGTTTCCTGTGGCTCTGATTCCTGTGCTAATAAAAGCACAAGGTTCTACAGTTAAGAGACTTTGCTGCTTCCAGCAGACCTGGGTTCTGTTCCAGGCACCCATGTGGTGGCTCACAACCTCTTAAAACTCCAGTTCCTGGGGATCCAGTGCCCTCTTCTGACTTCCAAGGTTTCTGCATACGTGTGGTACATGAACACACACTCTAAAAAAAAATTTTTTTTAATTAGGGGGGGAAGAGGAACAGCACAGAGAGATGCTGACTAAAACCAGAGGAAAACAGATTTTTATAAAAACCATTTTCTATCCTCACCTCGTATTTTCCTACCATCCCAGTAAGGGTCCTTAAAAAAAAAGAGCCTAAGTTGTTCCTCTTCCTCTTGCAATATTGATGTTAAGCAATAAGAGATAGAAGTTGAAGCCAGTACAGTGTCAATGCTCACGCCAGCCATTGTGCCAGAATAGAGCCCTGCCAGTGCATGCTGATGAAAGGGAGCTGGGCTGCACCTGTGTGTGGCCTGCAGGACTTGTCAGCCATGCAGTGAGAGTAGCCCTTTACCCATGTGCTGTCACTTGTAAGAGACCAAACCAGCTAGCTTGATTACTAGCCTTTGTTTGACTTAAGGACTTTACCTATTAAGAAGGAGGAAAAATAGTCAGCTATCATGTGAAATCAGAAATCTATGAAAACCATGACGTTCAAAATACTGGGGTTTAGGGCACAAATTTTTTGCATATGGCAGGGTTATTGGCGTAAGGAGTCAATATACTGTTTGTGTAGTGTACTTGTTGAGGATTGGTTGTTTTCAAAAATTGTGTGTGTTTAAGGTACCTAGCATGACACGAGCTGTGTTCAGAGAGTTAAGTCACTCCAGGGAAAGAGGTTCTATGGCCCTCATCTCAGTTATTCACTTTTTAAAATTGAGAATTCATGCTAAATAAGTAACTATTTGCTACCCTTCTGCAAAGTCATATTTACTCGAGACACTCTCATCACACCCTCTACAAGTTGGGGTAGGGCTTTCCATTGTAACTTGGAAGTTGTGATTACTGGCATCTTGGAGGCTGTGGCTGCTCTCCCCGGCCATTCCAAGAGCTGATGACAATGGGGCAGTGTTGAGTTTGGTCCTCTTCCTGATAGCTTCCTGAATTCCTGAGATGAGGAATAAGAAGAGGGGAGATGGATTAGCATGATAATAAACGTAAATGACAGACTGGCTGTCCTCAAGGCCCTCATACTTTCACTTTTTGTCTATTACAGGATGGTAACGATTCTGATGAGTTCATGTGAGCTGAGCAAAGGACCCTGGGAAGACGTGAATGTACAGGCTATCACAGATCTTTTGATTTCACCTATGTTCTGAATTACAGAAACCAACCAACCAAAATTCTACCTTCATTCTACATAGACATCATTCATTTTGGAGCTTTTTTTAAGTCATTCTTTTTACCCATGAAAAGAACAGATGTGTAATATAGTTGAACTTGAAGACAACTTATAACTTTAGGAAAAGAATAATATTTTTGGCAGAACATATTTCAGTACCTCATGAAGGCTGGCTGCCTTTGTTCTTGAGATAGACATTTGAGCAGACCAACTCTGGAAAGTGCTTCTGTGGCTGTGGTCTGTCCTGGAAACAGATGCCACGAAATGTGTTTCCTATTTCTAAAATATCTCTGCTTCTGTTAAGACTGTCAGTGGGTTACTGGGCCAGCGCCCCTGATTAGAAGAAGGGTATGTGAGTTTTGAAGACAGTGGTAGTACTTTTGGGTTTTTTTGAGACAGGATTTCTCTGTGGCTTTTTTTGGAGGCTGTCCTGGAACTCACTCTTGTAGACCAGGCTGGTCTGGAACTCACAGAGATCCACCTGCTTCTGCTTCCTGAGTGCTGGAATTAACCAACGCCCGGCCCAGTGGTAGTACTTAAGGCTTGGATTTTAAAATTGACAAGTTCTCTCTTTTTAGTGTCAGAGTAGCCAGCCCAGCTTTTACCGTACTCCAAGGGTCTGAGGGCCCCCATCTTAGCATCACAGTTACACAGTTGATCTTAACCAAATTTAGGGACTTGTAACCAGAACCACAAGTGACCTAAGCCACAGATGTGACAACTAGGTTCTGAAGTCATTTCTCTGTGTGGAGGGAGACAGGAAGGGGTGCTCTGCCAATAGTGCCAGTGCCAGTTGGCCTCATTTTTGTCTTGACTATATCATGAAACAAAAGTCCACAGTGGGGTGTGAGCAGTAGAAAGAATCAAGCATTTTCCTAGTCAGCAAGTCATCTATTTCCTTACTTTGAAGTATTTATTTTGAATTGTGACCCCAGAGTTGTAGGCTCAATGACTTCACATGGAGCATTGGTACTGGCCTGAGCCACCTGCTCTCAGTAGATACATTTTTAGTACAGTGTTTAAGGGAACCCCAGTAGAGACACAGCAAACAGTGAGAGAGGAGAGAGCAAAGCCTTCAGGGAAGTGGCATGCAGATTCATATTTTAGCATACCACAAAGTGCCCACAGCAGTGGGTGCTAAGCCAGCAGAAATGATTTCTTCAGCAAATGTACCAGCTGTCATCACTGAAGTATGGGCAAAACCAGAAAACTGGTGACCCCTGGTACTCCAAGATGAGTATGAACTGACCTGGAAAATTCCCTGAAGCATTAACTCATTAGCCACATTGGAGAGGGGTATGGAAGCCCACACCAGAGGGAGGGGTGTGTGTGTGTGTGTGTGTGTGTGTGTGTGTGTGTGTGTGTGTGTGTGATTTAGACTGGAGTTCTGTGATTTAAAAAAATATATAATAAAGTATCATTTTTATCAGAAAAGAATTCTTAGAACTTGTTTTCTATAAGAAGCAGCCCCTACCTCCAAGCTGGTTTGAGGCTAATTGTGCTTCAGCACAATTAGGTTCCTTCTGTGGTGGGTAAACTCAAGGTCTTGTGCGTTTGTGGTAGGCACTGGAGCACAGCTCCCACCCCCCTCAGGCTCTGCTATGGGACCTGCAAGTGTGACCTCCTTTCCCCAGATCTGAGCATGAACTGGTGGCAGGGCTGCCCAGTCCTGCAGCCCTCCTGCCAAATCCCTGTAGGCATTCCTTTAATATTTCAGCTCCTTTAGTTCTTGGTTATTGATGTTGCAGTGGGAGGCTTTGCTGCCAGCATTGCTTGTGTCCCTTCAGCCTCTGCATCTGTAAATCCTTGAGCACACATAGGGAGAGCTTTAGAAGAAGATCTCTTCAATGTCAGGTACTGGGGTCTAGATTCTAAGTAGTTCAAAACTCCACTTACACAGGTTCAACGTATCTGGGCCTCTCCTGAGTTCTTGTTGTTGGCTTTCATCCCTTTAGCTCTTCTATGCTGATTGTCCCCACCTCTTTACTCCCATTTTATGCTTTTCCAGTTCACTTGGTTTCAGGGAAAAGCAGACAAGTATTCTTTTGTTTGTTTCTTTTTGAGGCAGGGTTTCTCTGTGGCTTTGGAGCCTGTCCTGGAACTCACTCTGTAGACTAGGCTGGCCTCGAACTCACAGAGATCCACCTGCCTCTGCCTCCCAAGTGCTGAGATTAAAGGCGTGAGCCACCATCGCCTGGCTCAGAGAACTATTCTAAGAACAGTTCACGAATCAGACTGCCATCTTCAGAGCCGTCTTTCTTGCTGCTGGCATGTCCTAAGTGTTCAATAGAGGAGCTCCAGGCAGTTGTATACTTATGAGCTGCAACTTTGATCAGATCTGCTTGTGTACATGTGCGTGTGTATATGCCTGTGTATATGTACGAGTGCCTCTGTGTGTGTGTGTGTGTGTGTGTGTGTGTGTGTGTGTGTGTGTGTGTGTGTGTACATGTGCACATGCATGTGTATGTTCTGTTGGTTCTAAGTTTCACTCTTCATCATAGTACACACTAATGTTACTTAGAGTTTAAAGAGAGAGGTTTTTCTCTCAGCCATAACAAGAGTATTTGAATTCTCTTTTAAATATATACTTTTGCCATGTGGTAGTTGTGCACACCTTTAATCCCAGCACTTGGGTGGCAGAGGCAGGTGGAGGTCTGAGTTTGAGGCCAGCCTGGTCTACAGAGTGAGTTCCAGGACAGCCAGGGGCTACACAGAGAAACACTGTCTTGAAAAACAAACAAAAAATATACACTTTAATGTATTTTTGAGGATTTCATACATTCATACAGTTTATTTCAGTCATATTCACCTTCTGCTTCTCCCTCTGATTCCTCCTAGATCCCCTCCACTTCCCAATTTCATGTCCCCCCATTTTTAATAGGTTACTGAGCCTGACTAGTGTTGCCCATACATGCATGGGTATGAGGGGGTTCATCTGCATAAACATGGTTACCCTACAAGGGACTACACTCACACTAAAAGTGACTTGCCATCTCCTAGAAGCCATCAACTTTCTTCACCTACGGCTGGAGGCTCCTAGCACACAGCCTGACATTGAATTATATGTACACTGAATTACATGTATCTCTTGTCTTACATGGGTCACTTTTTGCCTTTCGGATTTCACAGCTGCATCAGCTGTTAGAGGAGCTCTGTGCTTTTTACCACAGTATGATTGCATCGCACCTGGACCACACAAAACACAAATGGGACCTTGCCATTGGAATGCTCGGACTGGTACTGACTCAGCACTTCCTACATTTGTGAGCGGCCATGGTTTGGCAGCCATGGGAGATAATTGTTAATTCTGGAAGACCATGTAGCTCTCTCTGGTTCTCAGAGCTGCTGATTGGGTGGTAATATTTAAGGCTAGAAAACAGAAGAATTCTACAAGTCAGTATTGTGCTTCCTTCACATCCACCCTGTTCTACAAACCCCTGAGTAAAGGCACTTGCCACACAAGCCTGATGACATGAGTTTATATCCAGAACCCATATAAAACAATGGGGGGGAGCAGCCAAAGCTGGATACAGTAATAGCATCCAAAACCAATGCTCCTGCAGTGGAGCAGGGTGGAGACAGGAAACTCGTAGTCAGCTAGCCTGAAGTACCACAAGTCATCAGAAACAGCAAGAAGAGATCCTCCAAGCAAGGTGGAAGATGACTAGGCCCCCAACAGCTGTCTTCTGACCGACACCTACATGCTGTGGCACATTTCATGCATCCATGCATCCACACACCTGAGGTCAGAAAATGACCATAGAGAAGGAGGAAGCCATCTGTTTTCTCTGCTGGAGGATGAAGGCGGCAGAGTGAACAAGTGTAGGTGGTACCAGTACTAGCCTTGGGCAATTCTGGTCCAGTACCTAATTGCCTTTGATTCTCTCCCCACTCTTAACTTGCTCCCTTAGCCAGATGGGGCCCTGTAATCTCACCCAATCAGAGGAAACCAGGAGTGTGGGAGAGGAGCTAGGGAAAAGAGCCAAGCAATATTTGCACACCTGGACTTTATTCTGTGTGACATTATGAGTGGCATGTCTCTCTTCCGAGCCATGATTTGTCCACTGCAAAGAGGAGTAAGAACAAAGCAAAGACTATAAATTCTAGTACCACAGCCTATATAGAGCAGGTGATATACAAAAGGAAGGCAGACAAGGTGGCTCAGCACTCTAAAGGCCATTCTGAAGATGTAACATGCCAGTTCTGGCATATGCTGTTACAGGGAAGCTAAGCTTACAGAACAGGCTAGTGAGCTGCATCGAAGGAGCTGAACTTCATAGGACAAAGGCTTTTCCTCCCAATCACTTTCTTCAGCAGGATTTCTCTACTCCACACTTCAGACATCTTTAGAACAGACCAAATTCCTCAGTGTTCTGATTGCATGCCACCTAAGAACAGCTTTGTTTTAAAATATGACTCTTCATCTCCTTTTAATCAAAACTTCCATTTGAAACTGTCTTCTATCTACTTAGGGTCTTTGAGCCATCCCCACATCCCTGTACATGTCAGAACCTTTACTCTCTTTCAACAGCCAGTTCTAAGGGTCAGCTACTGAATAGTTGAGGATGGGATAGAGGGCAGGCACTGAACGAACAGGGAAAGGCTGTCTGGGAATTGGTGGCCTCCAAGAACAGATGCAAGTTCTTCAAGGCCTTTCTGGGGGTTCTTGGAGCTCACTAGAAACAAATAGTGGGTACCACAGCTCCTGATCCAGGGTGCTTTCTAACAGCTCCTGACCCATGTCTCTGACCATAGCCTGCTTGCCCAGGCAGGCTACTCTCCCCAGTGAAGCTTCAATTCGCCTCACCTGTAGCCCACCTTTCTCCTGTTGCTTCTGTTTAACCAGAAGGAAATTCCACTCACCAAATCAGGCCAGTTCAGTTTGGCCAACTGTACCACTGTCTCATCACTTGGCCACTGCAGACAGTTCCAACCTGTGTCCTCTCTGTGGATTTCCCCAGGCAGTGCCATTCTCCCTGGGAGACCATACCAAAGATGGACCCACAGGTGCAGTGAGGCCTCATTGGTAGATGACATGTAAGCCTCTCCCTAGGACTTGGACCTTTCCCACACCAGGCCACTCACAGGTTCCTGAAGGCCCCTGAGTGGTAAGGGGCTGCAGCTATCCCCGGAAGCCGGTGGATTTGCTTCTGTGTAT